GGGGCGGGAGTGGCAGCCGAGTGGATAGCTGTCTGCTTTAAGAACTCCCACCCACCCTGCTTTTTGAGACAGTGTCTGTGTGCTGCCTGGGTTGCTTATACAAAGCCCAGGCATCATTTTGTTTTGTTCATTGAAGGGTTTCATTATATCCTGGGTGTTGAACTCACTGTGTAGCCCAGGTTGACTCTGAACTTGGAGCAATCCCCTGCCTCACCTCTCCAGCATGGGACTACAGGTTTCATTAGCTATTTTAAAAGAAGCATTTGCAGGACCAACAAAAGGACTGGATAGGAAGGGGATGGAGGAGGGGGAAGACAAAGGGGACTCTGGGGCTTGAGCGACTGCACAGATGAGGATGCCACTTTCCCTGATGCAGAAGGAGCCCATCTGGGCAGGGGAAGCCTGAGCTCTGTGTGGATGAAGTAAAATTTTGATGCCATGTGGCGCTGTGAACAGGCATCTGGGCATCTGGGACGGAAGTAAGGAGAGGGACAGATGCATCCTGGGAGTCAGCATGAGCTAGGAGTAGGTAGTGGGACTAGGGTCTGCAAGAGCACACCAAGAGGAGGGAGCACTCCCCAAGAGGATTGAGGCAATCCTGCTCTAAGGGCAAGCTAACAGTGAGTATAAAGGTGGCAAGCAAACAGGGTTGGGGCCAGAGAGTCAGCACCAGAGGCTAAGGGAATGTCAGACAGAAATGACGAGGACTCAGCTGGTGAGCTGTCCCAGGAATCTGAGAGTAGTGGGATGGGGGGGGTGAACTTTCTGTCATCTCCTTCCCAGCTCTCTCCCTCTTGAAGACCCAGAGAGTCCAGAGCCCTGCAGTCCCTTCCCCAACTCTGTCTAGAACTCTCTGCATTTCCATCTACTCCAGACTTAGCCCAAAGCTTCCCGAGACTTACAGCAGCCATTGCTGACCACCTGCTTCTAGTCACTTCTCCCTGCCTATCTGCTGCCTAATGATAGTTCAGACATGCACAGGTGCTCTTGAGCTTAGACCCAAAGCTTCCCCAGCTGTTACTACCCTTAGGATGACAGCTGAATATCACACCTGGTCCCCTGTCTCCTCTCCATCTTTTACACACATGGCATTCTAGGAGGGACCAAATCATGTCTCTTTGGTATGCAGATTATTTTAAATTAAAGACAAGTAAAAACCAACAGCAACAGGAGAAACTCTTTGCCACCTCATAATTGCCTAACAATACAGTCATCCCTCAGAGTGGGGACCCCTTCCAGGCTGCCAAGGATAGTGAAACTCAGGGTGCTCAAAGCCCCTTATGTAGGATTTGGAAGATCTCTGTGAGTGCAAGGTCAGTCTGGTCTGTGTAGCAAGTTTCAGGCCAGCTAGAGCTACATAGTAAGCTAAGGAGGAAAAAATGAATAAAAACACAACAACAAAAACCAAACACAAGAAACAACAAGATGAAGAACAACTCCAAATGAACCAAAACCCTTAATGTAACACCCAAAACTCTGAAATTATTAAAGGAAAGGTAGGTAAAATACTTTAAGATACAGGCATAGGCATGAATTTTCTGACCAGGATTCCAGTCTCTTTTGAACTGCAATGGAAATAGTTAAACAAATAAAGAGACAGTCTATGGAAGAGGAGAGAAATTTTTGCTCGTTAACATTACTTTCTGGATTATATAATAATAATATTAACAATCTATATATCTGACATTAACATCTAGAATAAACATAGAACTGAAAAAACTAAACAATAAGAAACCAATCAACTCAATCAATATTCTAATGAAATGTACAGTTCACAAAAGATGAAATATAACTGATCAATAAACATACAAAAAAGTGTTCAACTTCACTACCCATCAGTGAAATCTTAATTTAAAAAAATACATTGAAATTGTATCTCACCCCAGTCAGAATGGCAGTCATTAAGGAAACAAACAACAGGTCTGGGAGAGGACTCAGTGGCTAAGAGCACATGCTGCCCTTCTAGAGGACCTGCGCTCAGATCCAAGCCCCCACATCTCATGGCTCACTACTGCCTGTAATTCTAGCTCCAACATCCTCTTCTGGCCTACACACACACACACACACAGAGGGGGTGGAGAGAGAGAGAGAAACAGAGACAGAGACAAAGAGAGAGAGACAGAGAGATATGCAGAGAGAGACAGAGACAGAAAGACACAGAGATGCAGAGATAGTGACAGAGAATGAAAAAGAAAACAATAAATACTAACAAAGACACACCATAGGGAACCTTACACATTTACTGGTGGAAATATAAACTGCAGTGATATCTTGCTTGTACAAATAAAGCCTGTCTGAAGGTCAGAGAATGGAACTTGCCACTAGCTAACCATAGAGGTTTGGAGGTCTGTACAGACAGACAGGAAATGAGATGGCTGGGTGGAGAGAGGATACAAGGAGGGAGAAACAGGAACTCACTCTCTCATCTGCTGAGAAGCTAGGAGGTAAGGTGTGGCAGCGGCTTGCTCCTTCTCTCTGATCTCTCAGCATTTCCCTCTATAGCTGACTCCAGGTTTTTATTATTTAGACCAACTAAGAGCTCCACTTACAATGAACTAGTCTAGCCATTGGGATGTCAGTATGGAGAAGTCTCACCAAACTAAAAACAGATCTTGCACATGACCCAGATAGCACTCCTGGGTATGAACTGGAAGGATTTCTCCTAGTCAATGTGTCACAGAGACCCCCTCCCATACGTGCAGTAGCTAAGCTATGAACTAACCCCAGTATCCAACAACAGAATAAATAAAGACAGTGTAGCTTACATACATAATGGAATGGGCTTAAAGAAAAACACTGCCAGGTCATTGGCATGAAAACGGAGTTGACTCCAGATAATCACACTAAGAGAATTAAACCAGGGGCTTGAGAAATGGCTCAGAGGTTACAAGCACTGGCTATTCTTTCCGAGGTCCTGAGTTCAAGTCCCAGCAACCACATGGTGTGGCTCACAACCATCTATAATGAGACCTGGTGCCCTCTTCTGGCCTGCAGGTTTATGTGCAGGCAGAATACTTATGCATAATAAATAAAATCTTTTAAAAAGAGAGAGAGAATTAAACCACTCTCAGAAGATAAATTATTACATGCTTTCTCTCCTGTGTGGTTTCTTGATTTTATATCAGACACAAATATGTAAGTGTCTACGACATGAACATAGAAGTAAAACTGACTGAGGTGGTTTAAATAGGAACGACCCCCCAGACACTCATGTGTTTGAATGCTTGGCCCAGGAAGTGGCACCATTAGAAGGTGTGGCCTTGTTGGAGGAAGTGTGTCACTGCAGGGGTGGGCTTTGAGGTCTTACCAACTCTGGCCAGCAGGACAGAGACTCCTCTTGCTGCCTGTGGACCAAGATGTAGGACCCACAGTTCTTTTTCCAGCACCATGCCTGCCTGCACACCGCCGTTTCCAACCATGGACTAAACCTCTGAAGTGTCAGCCACATAATTAAATGTCTTCCTAAAGAGCCACCAGGGTCATGGTGTCTCTTCACAGCAATAGAAACCCTAACTAAGACACTGTCCGAGAAAGCCAAGTGAACTAAAGGGAAGAGGGAGGGGGAGGGAGGGGGAGGGAGGGGGAGGGGGAGGGGAGGAGGCAGAAAGAAAAGAGCTAGGAAGCAGAGGGTGGTATGATGGATAATACTGACTGTCAGCTTGACAGGACCAAGAGTCACCTAGGAGACCAGGCTCTTGGTAAGCATGTGAAGAGCGGGTCAGGTTAGAGGGAAGGTCTACCCCAAGAGTGGACAGCACTAATCCTGGGGCTGGGTCCTGAAGCTGCACACAAGCACCCATCGTCCCCTGCTTCCTGCCTGAGGATGCCACATGACTAGTCACCTCAAGCTCCCCTCCAAGATGGACTGTACCCTCGAACTTGAGCCCAAATCACCCCCATCTCCCTGAAGCTGTTTGTTTTGTCTCAGCAATGCATGAAGTACTAAGAAATCATAGGGTGGGGAACACACTGTATACCTACAACATAAGCATATATACAGTGTATAGGCTGAGAATATCTTTAGGTAATAAGGAACCATCTGTGATAAACAATACAACGAAAAGCATCTAAGTAAATACAAACTAAAATCTTCAAAGAGACCTGCTTAAGAGCCACAAGTGTTCATCGCTGCTAAGCTGTTTCACCAGCCCCTTGTGTAGTACTTTAATTCAAGAACTCTCAATATATTTTCTAGTTGTTAGACACACTGATACAGTTGTCTCTCCTAGAAGAAGTACTAGCTTTATGATGTAGTAACTTCACTTGTTATTTGCTCAGACATTATGTAACCGTCTCAAGAATTTGGATGGGTCATGCCTTCTCTTGGGAAAGAAAGCATAAGAAGCAAGACATGGTGCCTAATATCTGTAATTCTTAGACTTAAGAGTTAAAGGCCATTCTCAGCTGCACATGTGTATGTCCATGTATTCTGTGTGTTATTATTATTAATTTTTCCCTAAGTGCTGAGAAAAAAAACAGAGACCTACTATATACACTTTCCTTTCTGCACGGTGATTCCCATTTGTAAAGAAAACCTTTTCCCCTCCCTGCCAGGTGAGCTACTCCCAGACACAGCTGTTGGCCGTCACCCGAGACACCCACTGCATAAGAAACCACACTCCCTCCCTTTGCCTCTCCTAACTTGCCTCCTGACCCCACAGCCCGAGCCCTGCCCCCCGCCCCCCCCCGCAGCCTGAGATGGTATGAAGCCTCAACCCTATGGAGACTTCCTTGGACCACATTTTTTTTTGTAAACACCCATGTAGATGTAACTAAAAGGTTTCTTTCTCTTTCATGAGTTCGATTCCCAGTCCTCAGCCATGGAGCCTAAGACAGCAGAGAGGGAAAAGAACTTTTCCTCCCGTGGGCCCCCCTCCACTGTAATGCTGGAGAACGCTAACTGGCCCCCAGCAGCTAAAGTACCGTCTCTTCCAGGAAGCCTTCCAGGGCTGCTCTCTTCTCACCATCTGGATACTCAGCTGTGACCCAGCACCACTCACCTGCTGTACAGGCTCAATGGTTAGCTCCATGTAGCGGCTGATGGCTGTCATTGTCCCCAGGGGCTTGCAGTGTGGCAGGCTGGTGAGAGGCACCCAATCTGAGTTCTTTGAAATGGAAGCAGAGAGGTAACAAGGAGAATTATAAAGCCAGGAGGCATGTTCTAAAAGGAAGGTCTCATTCTCTCAGAAGAATCCTTCAGTCAAACATGATGGTGCATGCCTTTGATCCCGAACTCAGGCAGAAGCAGAAGGAGCTCTGTGAGTGGTCTACATGGTGGGTTCTAGGCCAGCTAGCAATACTTGGTGAGATCCTGCCTCAGAAGAAGCGGCTCCCCAGAGATTTTTGTGTGCTCAGAGTCTGGGAGCCATCACGGCAGGCACTGAGTAGGGCCTGAGTCAAAGCAGTGGTTCCGACTTGATGTGATTTGGGGAAAACCTGCTCGAGGCCACCTTGGCTTTAGAGTAGGGACATTTGGTCCGGAGCCCTCACTTTGAGAACTTTTGCCATCAGTAGGTGTGTCCAATCTACAGCTCGCCAGCCACACAATCACTATGAATGAATATGACCCAACCCAAGATCATGAGCTCACTTAAAACTCAGATTTATTTTTGTGTGGGTTTTTGTTTTTGTTTTGTAACTTGTGTGATTCTCAAGCATGAACTTTGTGGATGACAACAGTGGGTGACAATGTCAAAATGTTGCACACACCTACAAGGACCATGGCAGATACCCAAGGGCTTCTCCTTGTCTGTTTGGAGTCACACAGACCTCTGTACTGCCAGCTCCCTGGTGAGGTACAACTTTACTACAGTTGCTAGAGTGAGGAAGTAACTTCCCTGCCAGGGCCTTCCTGCAAACTCAGAGCTAAACAAGCCACCTCGCTCTTTGTTATACACAGTCCCTTCAGGTTTTGTCAGCTCATGCTACATTGCTGAGCCTAGAATGTTCTGTGGAACAGTTTTACTTCTTATTTTTTCACTCACCCCCTCTCTTCCTATTCCCGTCTTTTCAGTAAAGGGATTCCCGTCCTCCTTCATGTCCTGCTCTGTAAGAAGGACCTGAAGTGCTGAGGAGCCCAGGAGCAGGTGACACTGTTTTAGACTTCCAAAATGTGTAAAGCGGAGCTGCTTAGCTTAAACTTCCTATGAGCTTCCACAATGATGCGACATGACAGTCTTTTGATGGGGACAAATTGCCCCCGTTGGAGTCGGTCCATAGATGTCACCAGTCTGGATCACGCAAAAAGTGACCAGGAGGCTGAGGGTGTGGTGCAGAGACGGCGTTTGTGTAGTGGGCAGAAGGCCCTGCTGCATCCCCAGCACTGCAAACACTTACCTCAGACATATCGACTCTCACTAGTGGCACATTATCGCTGCAAATGCTGGACATTATCACAACACTTCCCCAGGTGAGCAGTCAGCAAGACCAGTCTCCCAGCAGGGACAGTTAAACTGCAGTGGCCTCAAATACAAATGGGCCCTTGTGATCTGGGACAGTTTTCCAGAAACAGTGTCACACAGACGTGCAAAGACGGGAATGAGTTTACTCTGGAATTGCCCGGAGGTGGCGATGACGTCAAAGACGCATGGGAAAGTGGGGAAGCGATTTTATGAACTAAGAGTAGAAAAACCCACACTGTTTTAAAATTAAGGCACTAACCTAGACAGCGTGTGAATGTGTATGTCTGTCAGTAAATTATTTGAATAACAACAGTGTCTATTTGACTATCCAACGACACAGCTGCAAGAATGCCTTGAGTCACAAAACGAAAGCAAAACAACAGAAAACCTAAAAGAATTCTTGGAACTGGGAAAATAGAGGATCTCAATTGCACTCAGGATCATGTAAGCTTTGGACATTAAAAAAAAGTCGTTTTTTAAGAGACCAAGCCTAGAGTCGGGCAGTGGTGGCGCATGCCTTCAATCCCAGCACCCGGGAGGCAGAGGCAGGTGGATCTCTGTGAGAGAGAGAGAGAGAGAGAGAGAGAGAGAGAGAGAGAGAGAGAGAGAGAGAGAATGGAAAGAAGTCCCTGTCCCCAGTACTTCCCACCTCTGTGCACCCAGCCAGCAAACCAGACATTTTCCACCCAGAGAGACCTTGTCTTCAGTCCCGGCCTCCTGGCTGTCATCTTTCTCTGCGCAGGTCAAAAGGGCTTGCATGTCGGAGGCCTCTCTGACCTCGGGAGAAAATCCAAAGACTCGTCTCATCTTGCTCTTCGCCACACAGGACAGAAAGATGATCTGAGACATGGAAGTTAAGGTAGATGGGAGCGGAAGTGGAGAATGTCAGCCTGCAGGTGGTGCTCTTCACACCCCTGCTGCCCCAGCAGCCTGCCCTGGTCCCTCCCCGGAATGGTGCTGCCCCAGGCCGACAGAGCACATCTTGAAGCCAGGGCTGATCAATTTGGCTCTGTCTTTCTGCTCCCCGCTAACTGCTTGTGAGACAGACGTCTTTCCCTGGGCACGCCTTACAGTGGTAGCGCATGTAGTGGGGGAGAACACGTGTGGGCTACATGAAAACAAAGCCCAAGTGGGCCTGCAGACAGCGCCTGGGGTCCTCAGCAGGGAGGACATGCAGAGACACAGGAAAAAAGGAAGGCTGAGGAAGATGTGGTGGCCGCACCTGCCACTGCAGCACACAAGCAGGGGCATCTGGATTCAAGGCTAGCCTTAGCTACACACGAAGAACTTGTCTCATAAAGGAAAAACACTATAAAGCTAAAGAATTCTGGAGGTCAGGGGTCATCAGAAGGGATGAGGGCAGCTTCTGGGGTTGCAGGGGGTTGGGGGGGTGACTTGAGAGTGGCCTGCTTCGATTTTAGACTTCTGGGTAATTTACACTCTCCCACTGCCACCACAGCAGGGTCACCTTCAGAGGCTCTCCTCCTGCCACCAGCTCAGCCTCCCTTGCCCTTGAAAGGCTCATGCAAGGTCACCTAGGTGACAGACAGCACATCAGGCAGCACCCCTGAGGCCCCAGGAGTCTGTGGGTGGTTGCTCCACTGAAGGCATTTGTCACCTTTGATCTCTGCACCAGCAGAATAGAGCAGAATGAGCCTGTGTGACAGGAGTCCTCTCAGAGAGGCCTGGCAGGAGAAGAGAAACAGACTCCTTCCCGGGGAGGGCAGGATCCATGCAGAGATGCCTGGTAGAAAGCAGACCGAGCTGGGCCTTTAACCCCAAGGCTCAGAGCCTTGCCATTTCCCTTGCTATTTTGGGGGGCTCTGGGCAAGATGATCATCTTTGAACTAGGAAAGGACTTGAACTGCAGATCACGGCCGTGGTGGCTGTCTCCAGCAGGAGGTAGGACAAGGCCATGGTGTGCAGGCAATCCAGCCTCTCCGGCCTCTCTGGGCCTGAGGGGATACAGCGAGGTCCAGCGCAGCTCTGCCCAGGGAAATCAGGAACCAGGGTGTGGCCTGGAGGAGGTACTCAGGTTGCCGGTCATGGGCCACAATGGCTGAGGCGTAGAGGAGGCAAGCCAGAGCTGACAGGAACCGAGTCCACAGGTGGATGTAGGAGAATGACTTCCCCCGGCACTGTGCAGAGAGAGGAGGGGCTGGGCAGGAGGACACTGGATCTGAGACCCCAGCGCTCATATCAAGCCCTCTACAACTGGCTGCTCACAAAGGGGGCTCTGTCAGCCTCCACTGTTCAAATGGCTGCCTTTGCCCGGCACACTCCTACGCATTCCTCAGAATCTGGCTTAATCTTAACACCGGGAAGCTTTTCCCACTGCTTCCACCCTATGGGGCACTGGCTCTCTTTCAGGCCCTGTCATACCTGGCACGTCCCTCTGACAAGAAGAATTTACACATTCAGAGTACTCCTGGGGGCAGAGCAGCCACCCTCCCATTCCATCACTCAACTCCTGTCAGTAGCTGGGAACTTGGGAATGCCAAGGAAAATGAGAGAAAGTGAGTTATAATAGAGCCGCTGCCCAGCTTTTCCCCTGGGAGGTCAGGGAATAAGAGAGCACCTTCTGGAAGTTGTGAAGCCAAGGGGACATTTTGAGAGAACGAACAATGGAGACATTGGCTCACAGAAAAGGGACATGTTCGATATTTATGTAAGGCGTCTCCGTGGGCATAAGCCACTTTAGAGACAGTGGCTCAGCAGGTAAAGACACCTGCTGCTACAGCTTAGGTTGGATCCCTGGAACCCACATCATAGGAAGAAAGAAGTGACTCCGGCAAGCTGTCTCCTGATAGTAACACCCATAAATAAAAAATATTCAAAAAGTCTCTTTATATATACATTTATACAGGCATACACAAGACTACATACTAATCTGAAAATATATATTTAAGTTTACATATATGCAAGTATAAAATATGTATAATCTAGTTTGCTTATTAGGGGACAGTGTTTAGAAAGACTTAGGTGTTGGCTAAGGAATGGAACAAATTTCAGGGGAAAAGTGTATTTTGGCTGATGTTTCTCTCATTTTGTTTTAAATCCCCCCAAAATGCTCAGATGGGCTGGGATGTAGCTCAGGGGTAGAGTGATTACCTAGTGCACATGAGGCACTGGGTTAAAAGCTCAGTGCTGCACAAATGAAAGACAGCCAGGAATGCCACACATGCCTGTAGCTCAGTTGGGCTTATCCCCAGCCTCTCTTCTGGTTGCCACTTGCAGACGGCCAGTGAGGACAGAGACCTGACCCTGTGGAGTGCCTGGGTGTGAGGGTGCCTGGGCCTGGACCCTGACTCCCACCCAGCCTGAGGGTGATGACATTCTCAGAGCCATTAATGGTCTGTGAGTTCCCAAGCCTGACTACCCTGCTGCAGGTCCCAGAGAACTGGAAAAGGGAGTCATGATACTGCCCTTGTTCCCTGGAAGGTCTCCCTGACATGTGATGCCCCACCGCCTTCCTGGAGACTCCCCCACAGGCTGCTGCAGCCAGCCTGGGCATTTCTGAAGAAGGACTCCAGGACTTCAAGACCCAGGCAGCACAGCTCTTCATGCAGTCTCAGTCACCTGCCTCCTGTTCTTCTGGACCTGCTGCTAAACTGTGGCGCTCCTGGGAAAGTGGCTGTCTTCAGGCTAAAGGCAGGTCCATCACACGTTCAGGTGTCAGGGCTGGCGCTCACCCTGCCACCGAGGCAGGGGCACTACAGCAGAATCTTCCAGAGAAAACCTGGCAGGGCTGTTTCTACACCAGTCCCAGAGCTCGCTCAGGCACTGTCCTGTGTGGTGGCTTTTCCATGTCTTGTGAACCACCATGAAAGACCACCTGCAGCTGAGTTCTGTAACAGTTTCTACCCTCACTCACTGACAGCACAGGGACCTTCTCTCCAGCTTCCCAAGCAAACACTCTTTCCCAGGGATCAGGGAAATCTCTCACGGTACCATCTGAGTCTTCCATGGGATTAAGAGTTCCCCCAAAGACAAATCCCATTTGGCCTCAACAGGGTCAGACATTTGGAAATATCTGCCATAAGACCTTGGGTAATGCACAGTGTGGATTTCCGTGCCTTTCTTGTTCTTGTGATACTCTAATTTGTCCCACCCCTGTGACCCTTTTCTGCTCTGTTTTCCTTGGCTACAGGAAGTAGGGAGAAGCAACTCAGACTTCTGGGAAGGCTCCTGTAGGTCTCAGGTCTCCACCGTTCAGCCATGGCCCTTCAGACACACACACACAGACACACAGACACACAGACACGCCTCACTGCTGTTGTATACTAGCTCCCCACACAGGGACATCACACCCCCAGGGTCTCCTGAGGCCCCAAGAATGGTCACATGACCCATACCCCCAGCCCCACCCAAGTCTCACGATGTTGGAGAATGGAGGGATCCGGGATGCCCAGGAGCCAAAGGCAGCGATGCCACCCAGCAGGTAGCCGAAGACTTCCGGGTTTTCCTGCAACAAACCCAATATGTCTCTGCTTTTAGAAGGCTCCTCCTTCCAGTGCAAGAACTCTCTCCCTCTCCCAGGGCACCAAGTAGATGCTCAAGGAGGAAAGTGACCTGTACCCCCTCCCCCCCCGTATCCTCACATACTCCTATACTCAACCTTACCTGCAGCAGGCTTCCCAGCAGCCTCCGCTGTGGCCCTCGGACTGGGGCGGAAGTCTTGGGGACAGCAGCCCAGATTGCCCAGCCTGGACCCAGGCACAGCGGCAGAGCCAGGGCAAACACACTGGCTCTCAGATGCCCTCTTCTCCTCCTCTCCCTGCTGCCCCGACCTGCGGGAAACACCAGAGCCCCCGTGATGCTCCTGGATCATAGAATCCACCAGACGTCTGGTGTGGGAGAAGCTGGTGCAGACTTTAGCCTCTGCTCCCATGTCTTGCTATGGCAGTTACTGACCCCCTTCAAAGCCCTGGGGTCAAGTTCCTCTTCCAGAAACAGCCTCTACCCACAGTGGCTACTGCTCGGCTTCCTTGGAAGGAATCTTTTAATGCTAGTATCTGTGTAGACAGTAGCACCTCTCCTAAATTCACATTCCCAATGACCATGTTCCAATCATTTCTGCCACTGGCACGGATAAGTAAGTGACTGTGTGTCAAGCCACCTACTCTGTGAGCAGGAGAAACAACAATGAGAGAGGACATCCTTGCAGGTTTCCTTAGAACACAGGACATACACTCTTATGAGCATTTTAGAGAATACTTATGAGCTACACAGACTAGGTTGAGGGCATGTTACATGACCCACCGAGGTGATCATTCTGCCTCTGGACAAGAGTCTAAGAACCCTGCACTTTTCTCAGGAACCCCCAGTCCTATATACTCAGGGCTATTCACCCCATCTCGGTCCCTCCAGCTCCGCTCACGCCAAGGTCATCCATGCCTGCTTCTGCCATTCGTTTCCAGAAACTGTGTAGCTTGACTTGGCCAGTCAGAATTGCACACTGTCCCCTGAAGCGATATACCATCACAGCTCCTGGCCTTGGCTCACTGTGGTCTGGTTGCCTGTCCTGGTGTCCCATGCTTTCCTATCTCTGAATCTCGTCTGTCCCTGTGAGTCTGTCCCCTAAGCGCCAGCTATAGTAACTGTTTAGGGCCCCATATTTCTCATGTGGCTAAGGTCAGGGACTTCATTCCTTTGTCTGGCTCAGGGTTGATAAGGAATAGGCACTGAGAATACAGATGGGTGGAAGAAGGAAGGCGGAGGGACGGCCACATGAGCACACTCACCAGACTTCAACTTGGATTTGGAACCACAGACTGGGAAGAGGACGGACATGAAGTTCACAAAGTCCACAACTGCTAGGTAGGCTCCAGTGAACACCTGGAAGCAAAGGGAGACGGAGTCTGGGGGGTCCAGCACCATGCCCAGGAACCACAGCACTCCCCCTACAACCCTCCATCACGTGGGCTACACTGGGGCAGCACATCTGTGGTATGGGTAGCTTTTGCTGTGGAGCTACATCCTAGACATGGAAGCTCTCTGAGCCTCAGTTTCCCCATCTGTAAAACTGTCACACAACCAGGTCTCCCTCGACGACTGCTATGTAGATCTCTGGAGACAATTATTTGGACCGGGACCTAGAGAGAGCCAACAGTACCAGAGACAAGAACATCATCAATGGGAAGAGTGTACAGGGTGGCTTTGGAATCCTGGCCTTGGTAAATATTAGAGGGTGGGCTTACAAAAGCTTCCCTGCCCCTCGGTTTCCACATCTGTAGCAAATGAACAATGACAGGATCTCACTTCACAGGAGCAAATGAGTTAATATGCAAGGAGACCTTAGCGCCAAGGATGCAGTTAAATATTTAACAAACTCCAGCCAGCCATCCCTATTGGCCATGAACAGAGCCTCATTGTATCCCACAAGCCAGTGGGAAAGGGAGTCTGCTCCAAAGCCAGCACTGCACTGCTCTCAACAGTTCAAACCTTGGAATCAGTGTTCTGACCACTAGGCTGCCCTCCTTTATCTCTGCCTGGGTAGCCACAAAGGTAAAATCATGAGTTCCTTGCAGTAGGGATCAAAAAACATTCCTTGGGATATGTATTTAGGGCTAGAGCCCTTTATTTGAGGGGCTACACTTTGGGAGAACTAGGAACTGCTTTTCCCTATGCCAAATCCCACATCACCACCTGGAGAAGGACTCGGCAGCCACTGCCAAGTCTCAGCCCTGCAAACAGTAATGATAATGACTATCTGTTGAGCATCTACTATGAGCTGTGTACAGTGACAATACAGCGGTGAGTCTCTGTCTTCTGATGATGGTGACTCATAGTGGTGACTGAATGAGAATGGCCCCCATAGGCTCATATGTTAGAATCCTTGGTGCCCAGTTGGTGGAACTGTCTGGGAAGGATTAGGAGCTGTGGCCTTGTTGGAGGAGGTGTGTCACTGGGAATGGGTGGGTATTGAGGTTTCAAAAGACGGATGCCCTTCCCAATGTCCCTGCCTCCTACCTGCAGATCAAGGCGTGAACTCGTAGCTGTTCCTGCCACCACACCTTTGCTCTGCTATCATGACGTCTAACCCTTTAAAGCCATCAGCCCATTAAATGTGTTCTTTTATATGTATCACAACAATTGGAAATTAACTAAGACACAGTAAGCTAAGAAAGGTAAACTAAGACACAGCAGGAGAAGGGAGCTTGAAGCACTTGTGGAAGAGATGTGCTACAGTTTCAAACAGGGGAGGCTTTTTTAAATGTGTGCGAGTACGTATACATGCCGCATGTGTACAGGTACACTAGAAGAAGCCACGGGAGTTCACACGGTTAGAGGTTACCCGGCATAGGTAGTGGGAACCCAGCTCTAGTCCTCTGGAAGAACAGTGTATGTTCTTACCCACCCCAGGAAGCTTTAGAAGGTGACGGTGAACCGTGTGGACACTGAGAGAAAGAGCCCTTGAGAAGACAGAAGGGACCCCGTCCTGAGAGGAAACTGCTCCGCAGGCTGGGGAAACACAGAGGTTGGCATGGCTGTCACAGAGAAACAGAAGCCACGCTTGCGCTGGACATACCTGGATCGTGAGCTGTCTGGCCAGAATCGCCCCCACTGTGTCACACAGACTGGTCAGGAGGCAGAAGGCAGCGCACAGTGTCGACTGGTCCTGGCCACACCTTTTTGTGCATCTGAGGTAGAGAATCCTGGGGCGATAGGGGTGCAAACAGAACACAGGGGCTGTGAGTTGGGAGCGAGGCCAGAGATGACACCAAGAAAAGGTAGCTGTGACCTCTGTTCTATGAGGCATCGTCTCCCCAGCCCCCAGGTGTTTCTGGATTAGTCCACAGGTGGGGAAGAGAAGACCAAAAGAGCCATGAGGCCATGCCAGGGACTGGAGCTCTCCTTGTAGAGATACCATCGGCTTCTACAAAAGGGGGGGCCAGCTGGTACCTCAGATTCTACCAAGCATCGACATGCTGTCAAACACCTGTGATCCTAGCACTTGGGAAGCAGAGGCAGGGGCTTTTGAGTTTGAGGCCAGTTTGCACCCCACAGTAGGTCTTATCTTTAAGAAAAGATAAGGGCCTTCTCCAAATCTGACTGGGTCAACGTTCCGACCCCTCTCCTCTCTCACAAGCTAGCTGTTGGATTTTTATTTCCCGAAAGGGAAGCAAATTCTAAAAGTCACCCTCGCACCTAACTGTAGCGGATAATTGCCTAAATTTAAGAGGCAGTTTGTGTCTTTGAAATTAGAGTGAAATCTGCGCAATCCATCTGTGCAGTGGGTGGCAGACTCCGCCAGTTGAGCAGTTTGTGCATATTCATAATGCAGGTCAAACAAAACGGAGCTGCAGCACAGTGCTCCAGGCCCCTCTCCCCAGCTCTCCAAACTGCTCGGTTTCTCCCTCTAGCCCTCGGCCTACCCGGGCCGTACAAAGGGCAGGGCAGGGCAGACTAGTGGGGGCCAGAAGCCTCTGGCAGTGTCACCAACGATGTCTCCACCACACTGAATTTCAGATGTCTCCCTGCTGGTCTCTACAGGGAAACGGGCTGGGAGCGGCTCTGGCTTTATCCACTCAGGCAGGGTGGCTGGCTTTTACTCCATTGATTCGGTTCTGAGCATCAGTTCTAAGGATCATAGTGAAGGAAGGAAGACAGCCAACAGCCTAAATATTTCTGGTCTGCCAGCCCCAAGTCTGAAGCTCAGTGTTATCATTGGTTATACATTTACGCTCCAGGCTATTAAAACCATTCTAAGGTCAAGGGGTGAAGAGTCTAGGAAGAGATTTGGACCGAATTAGCAATACTTCATCTGCGTTTGAGAGAGGAGAACCTGCAGCCTGGGTGTCCAGGCTAGGAGATGACAGGCTTCTCTGGCTTCATGCTAGGGCCTTTGCCCTATGCCCTGTTGCTCTGGGGCATGTCCTCCAAGCTCTCAGGGGCCAGGACTCCTGGACTGACCTTAACCTAGCCCACACACCACACCAGGCAATCCATTCTCTGCAGACAGACGCAGGGAGACGGTTCAGGGGTGGTGGAGTCCTGAGAACAGAGGGCCATGTCTAGCCTAAGGCAGGGTGAAATGCCTTCTTCTCAAGCCTGTACAGCCAGGCATTCTCGAACAACGCTTAACCTGTCTTGGTTCCGGGGCAAGCGTGCTTAACAGTGTTGGTGGCACAGGGTGGCTGAGGAACAAAAGAGAGGATGCCTTGACAAAGGAGAGGGTGCAGCAGAACCCTCTTCCTTTGCACCCTCTGACCCGGAGAGCCCAATCCCGGAAGCCCGCCTGTGTGACAGACAGGGTCTTGCCCACTCAGTAAGCAGGCTCCTCATCCGAACCTACCACAGGGGCAGGCAGGGACCAAGAGCGTGAAGAAACGCAACCCCGGCCCAGGGTGTCATTCCCGGACTCCAGTCACTAGGCTATGGGACTGAAGACTCAACCACCATGGAAAGTCTGAGGGTTATCCCCTAGACACTAAGGAGAGCCCGTTACCGCAGTGGGGATACAGGGATGACACACCCTCCTTCTCCTGCCTCGGTATACTTGGGTGGCGCCGCCCTGAAAACTGACCCTGGATTTCTGTGCATGGGACAGGGTGGCTGAAGACCTGGAGGCTTTCACTCTCAGGACCCAGGCGACAGGGTCTATCTGGCCCAACCACGGCAAGGCAGACAAAAACCCACACGGTGGCCAGAGTCGGATTACCACTGCCACAGCTTTGGATAAATTAAAACTAGAAAATATCGAGGGACTTATTAGGGTCCCTAGGGTGGGTGGCAGCTCCAGAACGGTAACGGTGTTTAGTGAGCACTTACTAAGTCCTTTGCCTGCCGTGCCTCATTTAGTCCTCACATTCATTTTATGAGGCATGTCCTCATTCACAGGGGGTCCAAAGACTCACACCTTGCCCTTGCTTGCTCCCCACCAGTCAGCAAGGAAAGGCTGACAATAGATGCCAACCCAAGCCGCATCCACTGCACCACCCAGCCTCCTGCCTCCGCCTCACAGCCCCGCTTCCCCGTGCTCGGAATCCAGAAGCGACTCCACTTGAGTCCATAGAGCAATGTCAGATCTGACCTCGGACTTGAGCTGCCTCCTGAACGCCCCTTTGCTCCCCTTGCCCTAGGTTTCCTGGAAGAGCTGAGGCGAGTGGCGCCCAATCTGTCCCGCGGGTGGCCCGCCACCCCTCGCGCGGGTCCCGGCCCCATTACAGCGCGTGGGCGGCGATCCAGCAGCAGACGGCGCAGATCCACAGGCCGAAGGAGATGCAGACACGGCGGTGGGCGAAGCAGCGGTCCAGGTAGTCCCAGTTCCAGAGCGGGGACGCGGCGCCAGCCCCCTCCTCCATGGCCCGGGCCAGCCTCCCGCCGACCCCGGGGAAAGTTCCGGGACTGCACGGCTCCCCAGCCTCGCCTATTGTCGAGGTCTGCGGGGAGCGGGCCGCCCCCTAGCGGTGGAGCCGCGCGCAGCCGCCGCACAAAGGAGGGCTCTGCCAGCCCGGTCCCTTAGCGGGGTCATCCCCGTTGCCAAGCCAGACAATACTCTGGCGCTGCCAAGCGCTCGTCCGCGGTGGTGGTGGGATGACTGTGAGGCTGGAGGTCACTGGTTTAAAAAAAAGGTGTACCACAGAAGGGTGGGTGGGGGACGGAGGGCGCACAGATCGCCTCTGCTTCCTCTTTTCACTCGGCTGAAGCTGTCAAGGGCATGCCTTGTGCCACCCAGTCTCTCTGGATCCAGCCAGGGAAGGGTTAACTTTGGAACGTGCCGCTCCCATCCAGCCGCAGTGCCACACAATTAGATAAAAAAGAATGTTTTTCTTTAACGCGAACCATTAGAATATCTTCAAAGTCTTTACTGGTTTCAGTAAATTTGTTTAAAGCACGACACGATTGTCGCTTCATTGCTTATTTACCTTTGAGGCAGGGGTTTTGCCTCGCGGACCCGGCTAGCCTGGAGTTTCCTCACTGTGTAGCCTCCAGGCGGGCCTCCAACTCAATAATCTCCCGCTTCAGCCTCCCTGGTGTTGGGATTACAGCACGGTCCACAGTGATGACCACTGCTCGGACAAAATGAGATGTCGCTGTGGTCTGAACATTCGTGTCCCCTCCAGTTCCGTTGATATTGAAACTTAATCGCAAAGTGGAATGCTGGTGGCCACGCCTTTAATGCAGAGGCCAGCCTGGTTCCAGGACAGTCAGGGCTACACAGAGAAATCCTGTCTGGTGCTAGCCTGCGGGCGCTCCATCCTCAGCTCTCTGGGGAAACCAGAGATCCTCCATTCGCCGTCTTCCTAAATTTGGAGCCCTCGCAGTGTCATGATCACACCAGCATCAAGGTGGGAAAGCCTTATGTAGGGAACACCTTACTGTCTCTGTTTCTGCTATGAAGACAGGATCTTAGGTAGCACAGGTTAGCCTCCATTTGTTAAGTAGTTGAAGGTGTGAACTTTTGATCTTTCTGTCTCCACCTCCCAAGTGCTGGGATTACAGGCCTGCCCGAGGCACCACACCCAGTTCTACATGGTTTCCTTTGTATTAAAGCTTTCCTTTAGGCTTAGCATATGGCCCCCCACCAGCGGGCCAAATTAAACAATTTTAGTTATTGTGTGTGTGCATACATAGGTATAAGCAAGTCACTCTGAGATGTGTGGTTGCATAGAACTGTAATCCTAGCACTCAGGAGGCTGACACAGGAGGATCAAAGTCCCAGGCTAGTCTGGGCTAAATAGTGAAACTCTGTCTTCAGAGGAGAGTAGGGCAAAAAAGGCACACACGGCCAGTAAGATGCCTCACTGGGTGAAAGTGTTGCTGCCAAGCCTGAAGACCTGAGTTCAATCCCCGAGACCCATCTGATGGGAGGAGAGCACTGACCTTAGTTTGAATAGGAAGAGCCCCCATAGACTCATGTGTTTGAATAGAGAGTGGCATTATTAGGAGGTGTGGCCTTGATGGAATAGGTGTGGCGTGTGTCACTGTGGGGGGTGGGCTTTGAGGTCGCACTTGCTTAAGCTACACCTAGTGTAGCACAGTCTCCTGCTGCCTACAGACCAAGATGTAGCACTCTCAGCTCCTTCTCCAGGAACATGTTGTCTGCAATCATGTTCCCATGTTTCCCTGCCATGATGGTGGATTAAGCCTCTGAAAGTGAAGCCAGCCCCAATTAGTTTTCCTTTACGAGTTGCTGTGGTCATGGTGTTTTTTCACAGCAATAGAAACCCGAACTAAGACACTGACCCCACAAACTGTCCTCTGAGTCACCTGAATGTGTTCAGATTCGACCTCATGAGCACACACACACACACACACACACACACACACACACACACAGAGAGAGAGAGAGAGAGAGAGAGAGAGAGAGAGAGAGAGAGAGAGAGAGAGAGAGAGAGAGAGAGAGAGAGAGAGAGAGAGCTGTCAGCGCATGGCTGTGGACCTGACATCTTAGACTGGAATTTACTCTCTGCTCCTGGGAGCACTTGTACGCTGTTCCTACTTAAAAGTGAGGCGATGGCTGGGCAGTGGTGGTGCACACCTTTAATCCCAGCATTCAGCAGACAGACGCAGGTGGATCTCTGTGAGTTCGAGGCCAGCCTGGTCTACAGAATGAGTTCCAGGACAGCCAGAACTGTTACACAGAGAAACCCTGTCTCAAGAAACAAAAAGTAAAAGTGAGGAGATGGTGGCACCTGCCTTAGTGTTCTTGTGACACCAGAAATCCTGCGGTTCAAGCAGTGACACAGCCAGTGGTGAAAGCTAATCTGCTTATTGTCATCCTAAGGAGGCCGGGCTCGAAGACAGTGAAGAAAACTGAGAGCTGGTGGCAGGGAGACATGGTCCCTTCTCCTTCCCCACTACCTTGGGCTACCCCTGTTCCTGTATCTCCTACACGCTCATCTCTTGCTAAACCTCCCTTCCAAGCTCAATTTTAATGTTTTTTTTTTTTTTTTGAGGCAGGTCCTCACTATGTAGGCCAGGCTAACCTAGAACTCGCTATGTAGATTAGGCTAGCCCTGAGCTCACAGATCTGTCTCTGCCTCCCCAGTGCTGGGATTTAAGATATGCACCCAAGCTTACTTTTTGCTTCTCTTTGAGACAAGGTCTTATTTTGTAGCCCAGGCTGGCTGGCGACTCGGTGCACATCGTAGAGTGTGCCTGCCCTCTGATTCAGTGACCGTCCTGCTTCAGCACTGGGACCGTAGGTGTGGACACCACGCGGGGCTCTCCGATGTGATAGGACTCAGCTCTGTGAGTGGGTTTGGAATTACTACTCATCTCTGTTGCCCAGACTCCGTTTCTTCCTGATGCAGCCTTGGCAGGCTGCAGTTGTGGGGTTTGTTTCTCTCCTCTGGGTTATCGACCTCTCATTTTTTAGACTCACGCGCTCAGCTGTCTGTTTGCTATTTCCAGTTGTGTCTAATGGAACCCTCACAGTCAAACTGTTGCTTTTCCCTCCCAGAGCTCCAGCCTGCACTTCGTGTCACTGAGGTAAAAACACCACAGTGGCAGACCACAGGCCACCCATCTCATGCTTTTGGTGGGAGGTTGGGGCGGAGTGGGGTGGGGTGGGGCAGTCCCAGCTCCAGCCTTGTAAAGGCCTCTTAGAAACTAGGAGGGAATGGCTTCCTGAGAAAGATAAATGGGGGCTCTAGGTGGCGATGCCAGCTAGCAGTCAGGAGAGGTCTGTGCCTGAGAAGAACATGTCTGGCAGTGTAGAAGGTAGTCTAACTTCATCCCTCTTTGGAAGTTCCTCACATACTCCTGGCTTCCTTTTCCAGGCCACTTAGAGTCCCGCAGCAGCCCAGCTGAAAAGAAAGCCTAACTGGAGCCGGAACCTCTTGTTCTCCCGGGCAGTGGGCCACCTCGCTTCTCCCAGGCATTTCCTGCTGGCGGTGGCAGGCATTGTCCTGCAGAGAAGGAAGGGCTGAGCCTGGGCCTCCAGCAGCAGCTTTCCTTTTGGTGAGAGCCCTGGCTGAGGCACCGGGTTCCTGTCAGCCTCTAGCAGAGTGCATCCGGGAGAGGAAGGGCTGTGGCTGTGAACAGCCCTGTGACCAGTCAGGGCCGAAACAAACGTCCGACAGATGCCTTCCCTGCTAGGGAGACACAGGCACCGGCAGAAGCCTCCAGAAGCAAGGCACCCGGTTTCTCTTTCCATGCTGTCGTTTTCTAGAGTCGGGGACTTGGGCTTGTGAGATTTCTGCCTCAAGTTCCCAGGAGTTAGGATTTCGGCTGTGTGGCCCCCACACCAGGCTTGCTGGTGTGCTCCTGTCTGCTTTTAAAGATGCTTCCTGAGTTCGTCTGGTAGTTTACGTATGCTTTCACATCCCCTCTCTCTTTCTGGACCAAGTCTAATCTTTAGGAAAGGCAAAGGGATGCCAGCTGGCGTTGCCAGTCGTTAATATTTTGCCACATTTGCCACCCCCCAGCCACTTGAGACTCTCATGACACGTCACCTCAGCTTGTGGTTCTGCAAAGTTTTGAATATTCTATTGATTCTCTCGTCTTTTAAAAGTTCAGTTTGAATGAAAACCTGTAGTTTAAGCATGTGGGAGGCACATTCATCATCATAACAGGGGGCCATCCTGGGCTACATAGTGTTCTAGTCACTTCCATTCCATGCATATGGCAATGCCACCTGATATGCAATCCACATGAAAATTTGCTCACTTGTTTTTAATAATGCATGGTTTTCCTAGTACGAGATTCAGTGATTGGGTAGTGTGTCCTTTACCAGGTCTCTTGCAGGCTGGACTGTATAATGGTTCCCTTATGGGCCTGGTGAGGCCAGACATGTCTGTGAAGATAGCTGGTGGCAGTGTGCACTCCTGTCACACGCGTCAGTTGCTGCCACTTTCCCTGGTGCCAACTTTGATGTCTTGTTTTAGGTGACATCAGCCATCTATCCACCACAAGTGTAATTTATTCACTAAGTAAGTGTTAGTCTAAAAGCCCATGCCAGCCAGTGAGACAACTCAGAGGGGAAAGGCGGAGGGAAGGTCAGAACAGAAAGAGGGGGAGGGAAAGGCAGAGGGAAGGTCAGAACAGAAAGAGGGGGAGGGAAAGACAGAGGGAAGGTCAGAACAGAAAGAGGGGGAGGGAAAGGCAGAGGGAAGGTCAGAACAGAAAGAGGGGGAGGGAAAGGCAGAGGGAAGGTCAGAACAGAAAGAGGGGGAGGCACCAGGGCTGAGTCAGGTTAGGCGCCATGACCAGGGTGCTACTCATCTGTACACTGTGACTTGTGCACTTTTGGTAGACAGAGTATGTTTCAGTAGAACACTAAAAATCCAGTTTAGGGATCTGGAGAGATGGCTCAGAGGTTAAGAGCACTGGTTGCTCTTCTAGAGGCTGGGTATTCAATTCCAAGCACCCACATGGCAGCTCACCCCTCTGTAATTCCAGTTCTAGAAGATTCAATGCTCTCTTCTGGCCTTCGAGGGTACTAGGCATATAAGTGGTATACAGACATGTTTGTAGGCATATTACTCTCATAAACCAAAATAAATCTCAAAAAAGTAAAAACATAGTCAGGCTGCCACGGACCACACTTTACATGGTTATTGCGTATTGTCATTTGCTTGTTGCATGTGCAAAACTGTTCTCCCTTTATACAGGGCGTGAATGGAAGGAAACTTCCCTTCTAGTGTCTTCCATTCTTAAGTGGATATAACAAGCTGAACACAACACGTGGCAGGTGGATACTGGGTGAGATTTTTGGAGGATTCTTCTCACTTCCAAACCAAACAAGAGAAAAATCTGTCAAAGCAATGTGTGCCTTAGTAGATTTCTGGCTTGTTGACAATTTTTCCAGTTTATCCACCCTCCTCACCACCCCCAAAACCCAAACATAAGTGGCTATTGACTTCTTGGGAAAACCTCAGTTTCCTTTTAATTTCCTGAAAGTCAACAGATGACAGATGCAGAGCAGGGTTACCATTCATAAATGTTGGAAAGTGATAGTGTTGATGATTATGACTAATTCATAAAGCTAGACCACAAACCTCCACATGGACAGACATCAAAGCCTTAATGAGATGCATTCAGAAGCAAAGGTCAAGATGGGAATTCCCCTGTCAGGAGCTCAGGCTCCTCAGACTCCAAGCATGGCTTCAGGACCATTTCCTTACTGCGGGCTAAGTGCAGGAAGCCGAGGAAGTGGAGACTGGTGAGGCAAAGGAGAGAAGTCTTGCAGGGTGAACGATGAGATGTCCCCAGTTTGTGGGTATCTTTTGAAGAACATGTAGAATGAGCCCACTGTGTGACAGGGAAGCTGAGGTACCAGCCCTCATCCTTACCAAATTCCATCAAGTTTATACGGCGTGCCCATTTAGGCAACCTGCACACAACATAGTTGAAATAGGTAATGGTTGCTTAGGGTAAGGAGGAGATCTGGGATAAGTAGGGTTTCGGTCAGGGTTCTATTGCTGTGATAAAACACCACGGGCAAAAGCAACTGGGGGAAGAAAGGGCTAATTTTGCTTACACTTCCACATCACAGCCCATCACCGACAGAAGCCGGGGCAGAACCTTGAGGCAGGAGCTGAAGTGAGGCTGTGAAGGAATGCCGCTTATTGGCTTCTTCAGCCCATTTCTTGCTTCCTTTTTTAATAAAGCACCCAGGACCACAGCCCAAGGGTGGCACTGCCCAGAGCAGCTTGGTCCCTTCCACATCAATCATCAACCAAGAAAATGCACCACAGACTTCCGTAATCTGGTGAGGGCATTTTTTTTTTCGATTGAGGCTTCTCCCAAAATAACTGATTGGTCAAGGTAACATAAAACTAGCCAGCACAGATGGGTTGGGCTCTTTATTGGGGATGGAAGGATAAAAATGTTCTACAACTTACTATAGTTGCACAACTCTAACTATGTTAAACTCATAGGTTGTATGCTTTTTTTAACCAGTAAGCTGAATGGTGTAGTTTTTCTGTCACTCTAGGCTTTGTCCATCGGTATCAACTTCTGTCTTGTGGTAGAATATTGTTTTAAGGTGTGTGACCTTTGTTTATGCTGCATTTGTTTAACTTAGGGAAGCTGTGTTACAGTGCCTGTCTAAAACACCTGGTGGTCCTAATAGAGAGCTGACCAGTAAGTAGCAAGGCAGGAGCAAGGACAGGTGGGGCTGGCAGGCAGAGGACAAATAGGAGAAATGAGAAAGAGGAGCAATGAGGGAACAAGGAGAGGACCCCGGGGCCAGCCACGGAGTAAGCGTGAACGTAAGGTGTACAGAAATAGGGAACGATAAAAGCCCAGAGGCAGAAGGTAGCCAGGATAATTTAAGTTAAGCGAAATTGGCAAGAGACAAGCCAAGCTAAGGCCGGGCATCCATAACTTAGAACAAACCTGTGTGTGATTTATTTGGGAGCTGGGTGTGGGCCCCCCAAAGAGTCAAAAAGGCCAAGAGCAAAGATAAAATATCCCACAACAATGTCCTTCAGCAGATGGCCAGGGTTTTCACGTTCTGACTCTTGTTCCCCTTCTGTTCTAAACAACCAGGTGTGGTGGTTTATGCATGCAATCCCAGCACTCAGGAGGCTGAGGCAGAATTGTTAAGAATTAGCTGCAAGCTTGAACTATAGAGTAAGCCTGTCAAGAAGCAAGTTCCATCCAGGAGATGGATACTGTGACTTATAGTTTGGGGTTAAGTCTACTTGAACTTTGGGAAGAATTCACTTTTACCGTTACTGCTTTCTTTTGAGGTGGGGTCATGTTCAGTTACCCAGAATTCATTACCCTCCTGCCTCAGCCTCCTGAGTGCTGGGATTACAGGTTTACACATAGTTTTCACTTATTTCTGGGTAGCTGAGATGCCTGGAACCTCTCATCCTCGGTGGACTCCAAGGTGACCTATGCCCAGGTCTTCACTATTTAAAACCAGAATACAATGCAGTTTGTTGTTCGCTTGACCTGAGATTTCACACCTAGAATCCCTTTAGGACTCAGGGTTCCAAGGGATCTGGTTATGGCTAACTTCCAGACTGGCGCTTGGTGCTTGCTCCTTATACAGGGCTTCCCAAACTTTGGTTTGTTATTTTTTACATCCCAACTGCAGTTTTCCCCGCACTCCTCCTCCTGTTTCTCTTCTGAAAAGGGCAGGCCTCCCAGGGTTATCAGTCAGTCATGGTATATCAAGCGAGACTAGACATCTCCTCTCCTATCAAGGCTGGATGAGGCAATCCAGTAGGAGGAAAGGGCCCCAAAAGCAGGTAAGAGTCAGAGACGGCCCCTGCTCTGTTAGGTCCCACAAGAGGACCACGGTACACACCTGTAACATACGTGCAGAGGGCCTGGGTCAGTCCCATGCACTCTCTGGTTGTCAGTTCAGTCTCTGTGAACCCTTATGAGCCTGTTAGTTGATTCTGAGGGTTTTCTTGTGGTCTCCTTGACCCCACTGGCTCCTACAATCCTTCCCCCTCCAACTTTGGTTTCTTTATAAATTGTTTTCCTGCTACAAGGTGGATAAATATTTGCTAAATGTAGTTTCTTCCTGGGTGTGGTACCTCACACCAGTGAGCCCAGCTCTTAGGAGACTGAGGTGAGGATTGTCCGAGTATAAGGTATGTTCTGGTCACTTGACAGGGGCACTGAGGGAATGAAGAAATGACAGGTACATTCACACAGAAAACTGGAGCTGGGTGGATAGAGAAACCACAGCAGCCTCGAAGCTCATCCTGTTTGTTGTATAGAGTTGAACAGAGAGGAAGGGTTATTGATCGAGGAGGCGGGCTTTATGATAAAGGCTGGATCAAGGAGACAGGTTTAGTTAGTCTCAGTAAGGGAGCAGCCTCCAAACCGTAAACTGTTCACAAGGAGAAAGCTACTGTGGACATTTTTTATATCACTGTCAATATCTTCCCACAGATCACAAGGAAAGCCTCTGGGGTGAGGCCCACGGGCTCGCCAAAGGCTTTGAGGTCCTTGGAATGGGTGTGCCCACTACATAGCACACATTCCCTCAGGACTTCACTTACTGGGGCTTTCTCTGCTTCATAGAGGAGACCCTGAGTGCTGGTTTGAATGGCTCCCATAGGCTCATATATATGAATGGCTGGTCCCGGGTTGGTAGCACTGTTTGAGGATTAGGTGTGGCCTTGATGGAGGAGGCGTGTCACTGAGGGTGGGATTTGAGGATTCTAATGCCCACTCCATTCTCAGTCAGCTCTCTCTGCCTGTGAACCATATCTATGTGTGTGTGCCTGGTACCCATCCAGGCCAGAAGAGGTCATTGGATCCCCTGAAACTGGAGCTATAGATGGTTGTGAGCGGTCATGTGGGTGTTAGGAACAAAAACTAGGTCCAAGAGCAACCAGTGCTCTTAACTGCTGAGCCATTTCTCCGGACCCTCCCCTAGTCACATTTAGCAAATTTAAAATTATAACATGAAGTGTATGAATGGCAGTTCACCTATTTAAGCCAATAAAAACATCAATTAGTGGCAAATTAATTTTAATAACTTTCAAAAACAAAGTTAATATACACTTGTATGTACATTTACATACACTCCATCAGCTTTCTGGAGACTTCGGGGCATCTCACTGACTACTGCAGCCAGAATCGGTGCTTCCACGGAGTCTGCCTGTCAGCTGTCCAGACTTCAGGTGCACTCCACAGCGTCAGTGTCCGGAAAGCGCCTTGGGCAGCAGTGGTTTAGCCTCTGTCCGCTTGCACAGTGCAGGTGCCGTTTCTGTTGAGCCAAGTTCACATATCCAGGTGCTTGTAGAGCCTGCGACTTTTCTCTTTTTTATTTCTGTTGCCATGCTTTTTCCAGGGCTTCCCAGTCACCTTGTCAGCACTCAGAGCAGCGGCGCTCAGCAGGCCACTCCCCGGCTTGTAGCCCATCACAGCCTGGACCCCTTTGGTGAGCGCTCTGACATTCTCCTAGAGGAAACACAGGAGACATGAACAGGCTTCCTTTGCAGATCACTCAGCACGTGTCTCTCCTCGGCTCCTGTCCATACCCTATCCCTCACACTAGGCTTCCCAGCAGCCTCTAGTTCACCTCTTTCCCAGCCTTCCTTGCCTACTGTTTAGTTCAATAGCTTCCAGTGTCATCTAAAACCATCTAAAACCTTCATAATTCAAACTATTGTGGGAATTTTTCTTTTTTGAGTCAGGTCTTAATGTGCAGCCCAAGCAAGCCTGAATTCCTGATTCTCTGCCTTTTGAATGCTGAGACTGTAGGTGTTCAACCACCACATAGAGCTTGAATCTCCATGGATGTCAAGATTCAAGCTGCTTCAGCTCACATTAGACACTGATGCTCAAGAAATATACAATTTAATAATGTGAGAATTTTAAAGTAATATCCCGTCACTGTCATACACAGTAAAATATTTCTCTTAGGGGTGAAGTTTTAGATAGGACATTAAGTGAAGGTGACACTTTCAGCCCCCCTCCCTTCTATTGAAAATACATTATTCATAATGCAACTTTCAGCTTTCTCATGCAATGCCTTCAGAAATAAATCTGCAAGCATTAGAAAATTCAAACTGAATGTCCCATATGACAGTTGTGGGCACTGGGAACCAAACCCAGGTCCCTTGCAAGAGCAACATATGTTTTTAGCCACTGAACCATTTGTTTTAAGAATATTGAAAATGGAGCTGGGCGGTGGTGGCGCACGCCTTTAATCCCAGCACTCGGGAGGCAGAGGCAGGCGGATCTCTGTGAGTTCAAGGCCAGGCTGGACCGACAGCCTCCAAAACAATACAGAGAAACCCTGTCTCATAAAACCAAAAAAAAAAAAAAAAAAAAAAAAGAATATTGAAAATGGCTGGGCAATGGTGGTGCACACCTTTAATCCCAGCACATGGGAGGCAGAGGCAGAGGTAGGTGGATCTCTGAGTTCAAGGCCAGCCTGGTATACAAAGCTACACAGAGAAACCCTGACTCGAAAAATCCAAAAAAGAATATTGAAAACGTGTATTAAACACAACCAAATGACTGATGTACATAAACCTGACATTGAAAAAAATTCTATCAGCCACTGGGTGTGGTGGGGATTACCCAGCACTTAGGAAGCAGAGGCAGGTGGATCTCTGTGAGTTCAAGGCCAGCCTGGTCTACAGAGTGAGTTCCAAAATAACCTGTTATATAGAGATGTTACACAGAGAAACCTTGTCTTGAAAAACCAAAAATAACAACAAAACCCAACCAACCAAAAAAAAAAAAAAAAAAAAAAAAGGCAAAAGCTACCAACTATGGTGAGGTGATTTAGAAACTATTAATGTTGATTCACTTATTTCTTATGTACTTGTGTGCATGCTGCATACGTGTGGATGCTGGAGCAGAATGTAAGTCCTGGGATGACAGATGTGTACCACCACACCTTGTTTGGAGTGATACAGTCTTCAGCATGTGAGTGCATGGCTATACAATTCATTTCTGTAGAGAAAACACGAAGGTGTCGGGAGCCCGTGGAAAGCGCCAGGGAAAGAAAAGGCTGAACCAGAGACTACTTTAGACGGCTGAAACAGCACCAGCAATGGGAAGCACAGCACAGGCGTGGAGCTGTGAAACCCTCAGCACTACTGGCGAGCATACAGACTCTGGAGAGTCTGGCTGCACCGCACAAGCTAAGAGCACAGCTTTACAAACGACCGAAGCACTCCAGTTCCCCATTTAAAATAAAATCTCAGATGTGAGGCCACACACCATACACATGCACACCTAGACCTAACCATATTACCCAAAAATGTGAAAACCACCTAAACGTCTATCAGTTGGTAAGTGGGAAAAAGAACTCTGGCACCTCTTCACACTTACTTATATGTAATGAAAGAACACAGGTGATCCTTGGACAGCTAAACAAAGGGACAGAAGATCACACAGCATGACTCCACCCATGGGAAATGTCAGAGCAGACAACCCCACACACAGAAAAAAGCAGATTAGAGGGGCAAGTGAGCAGATGTCAATGGTATGGGTTCCTTTTTGGAGTGATAAAATTCTAAAACTGGTTCTGACAATGGCTACACAACTCTGGATATACCATAAACTACTGCACACCTGAAGACTGTATGTGGACCCAGATGTGACAATGCACATCTGTCACCTCAGCACCAGGGAAGCTAAGGTCAGCTTGAGGCACAAAGTAAGACCCAAAGTAAAAGAGCGGGCAGAGAGAGCTCAGTGGGGACTGTGGCAGAGGACCCAGGTGGCGGCTCACAGCCATCAGTAAGTCCATTTGCAGGGACCCCATGCCCTCAACTGACTTCCACAGAGACACACATGATGCAGGCAAAACATCATATGCACAGAAAAAAAGGGCGCTATGTGAACTTACAGTGTCCATGAAGGCCGGAAGAGGGTATTAGATCCCGGGGAGCTGGAGTTACAGGGGACTGTGGGCCTCGTGCTGTGGGTGCTGGGAACTAAACCCAGGTCCTCTGGAAGAGTGGCAAGTGCTTTTAACCACTGAGCCACCTCTCCAGTCCACCAGTTGCTTTTAAAACAGCCAACATTTTGAATTTTTAAATGTACTAGATAAGAAGTTAAAATTAATTACAGACTCCTTTTCTTACCTGATGGAAAAAGGTTTTGTCGACTACATTTTCAATCTGTTTGGCTTTTTGGTTTCTGCCCGGCTGTAGCCGTATTTCTTCACCTTTTGTTTTGTTCTCCAGGAGTTGTTGGTGTTGATGCTGGAACGCCACAGGATCTCTTCCAGGAGGGGGGTGGCAGTACAGTAGTTTCCCCTGCAGACAACAGCAACAGTCCTCAAGGTAAGTGCCAACCAGGCAGAGGTTGAAGCAGCTTTCTGGCAAGCTGAGTTTGGTCTGCAGCAACTGCAGAGTCCTAACTCCTGACACCCCAGCTCCCCCCCAGAGCCCTGAGTGTACAATGACCCTCCTCCTCTGTGACTTCCTCACATGCTCTTCATTCTACCAAGCAGTCCTCAGTGTTCTTCTACGTCAGGACACAGAGCCCAAGAACACTAGGTTAGAGTCTGAAATCAAGATCATTTCTGAGGCCTGGGGCTGGGGCTGAGGATGTGTGAGGCCCACAGGTCAAGCGCCAGCATCACTAGAAACAGTCAGCCTGCGTTTCAGCCCATCTCAGCAGAAATATCTCAACAGGCTGCCAGGAGCTAAGGACACAGTGACAGAAAAGAGAGCTCGCTCACTCACTGGCTCGCGGGCAATGGGAACAGGTTCACTTACTTTAACATAGTCCTTCAGGATGTAACGTGCGGATCGAGGCTGGTCCGGCTGTCCATGTGCTGTCATGAATCCTCGCATGCCTGTGAGAGAAAGCAGCCGTGTGAGAGCTCAGTCAGGAGGCTGTATCACAACAGGAGCGACTGAGCTGGTGTGCACTGGGGTCTTTCCCACAGCCCTCACTGGGAAACAGGTTGCACCATCAATGTTTGCTAACACACAGTACACTCTGCAGTTTATCTAGTATCTAAGCACTTAGCATTGTGACAGCCAAGTTCAGTTTCTTACAATCACTTATTCCTTCTATCCCTTGATCTAACCCATGGAGGCTACCCGCAGGAGAATATTATCTGCAAAACAAAAGGCAACACAGCAAATGCCCTAATTTAATAACTACATCTGATTTTCTGCTTTCCAAACACACCAAGAAGTCACTCTAAATCTCACTTAATGAGTAGCAAGGGGAAAGAAAGCTCAGCTGTTTTTGCAGAAATGCTGGGCTTAAAACTCAGCCCCAGCACATGCTAGCTATAGTGGCCTTTTCAATTTAACAGAAAAGATTTAGAACCCTAATTCCCATCAGTCACAAAAATAAGTTTAGAAATATCTAAAAGCCCTAAATGCTGGTGTGGAGAGAGGGTTAAGAGCATGCACTGCTCTTGTAGAGGCCCCAAGCTCAGGTCTCAGCTTCATGTCCAGTGTCTCACAGCTGCCTGGAATTCCAGCCCAAGGGAATTCCAATCCTGCGCCTGACCACTGAGGGCACAACCCCTATGGAGACACATGCAGCCCACCCCCATTAAAAATAAAATCTTAAAAAAATTAAATGTTAAAATAAGTATTACACATTTGCTCTCTGGGAGCAAGGAAGACCCCCACATGTAAAACACCAAACAGGCTAGCCCCAAAGGAAAAATACCGCATTATAACTGCACCCTTTATAGAGCCCAAGAAAGCAAGCATGGCACATGGTGATGGTGGAAGGTGGGCATGGGGTGGGGAGGATTACACAGAAATTAGCTACATATAGGGAAAACGACAAGCTTTACAAATAAAGACAAAGCATAGGGAAAAAAAATCAGCCGACAAACCAACCAACCAAATCCATGTATATAAAGGCCAACAAACCTGGGGACAAAGAAGTTCCAACTGCACCCCAACATCCAGCTCATCTACAAACCACTGGGGCATGTGAAGGGGCCAGAGCTGCAGACCCAAAGCTGCAGGATCTCCATGACACAAGGCAACAACAGGAGATTCAAGAGGAGTCCCAGTGAGAGCCCAGTATCAAGGGTGTAGCAGAAACCAGAGGCCTCCAAGCAGACCAATGACTCACTGCAACGAACACTTGCAAGGGCAGATGTACAGACTAAAGGGTATACTGTGTCACATTCCAGCTTCCATGCTGAGACTTTTGTCTTTGCTTTTTTTTCTCTTTTAAATTTTATTTTCTGGGGGGTTTAAAGGGCAGAGACTGGATATGAAGGGACTGGGAGATGAAAGGGATCAGGATGCATGATGTGACATCTACAAAGAATCAGTAAAAAGTTTTAAAAAATGTTTCAACTTCACCAGCATTTAAAGAAATACAAAGTAGGGCTGCAAAGGTGGCTCGCAGTAAAGAGTACTAACTGCTCTCCCAGAGGACCAGAGTTCAATCCCCAGCGTCCACATGGCAGCTCACAACTGTCTGTAACTCCAGTTCCAGAGCATCCACTGCCTCCTCAGGTACCAGGCACACACATGATGCACAGACACACATGTAAGCAAAACAGTCATACATAGAAAACAAAACTTTAAAAAATCATAAAAAGGAAGGAAGACGCGGACAGACAGACAGACAGACAGACAAAGTAGCTGAGTGTTGGGGCTCCTTAAATCCTAGCACTCAGGGGGCAAAGGCAGGAGATCTCTGCAAATTCCAGGCTGACCAGTGTTACATAAAGAGACCAACTGAAACAAAGACAAAATTAAAGAAATACAAAGTAGCCACTGGAAATGGTTCAGTAGCAAAGAGCATGAGCCGTTACTGCAGAGGGCTTAAGGGATCAAAGTTGGATTCCCAGCGCCCATTCTGAGCGGCTCACAAGCACAGGTAACTCCAGCTCCAAGGGACTCCAATGGCTGACTATCACAGGCACCAGCACTCACATACACATAACCACACACACACACACACACACACACACACACACACACACACACACACACACACACGTTAATATAATGCATCCTAAAAGAGAAACACACACACACACAGTTAATATAATGCATCCTAAAAGAGAAATGCAAAATAAGATTGGAGTGAACTTGGCATTGGCAGTGCCTTTAAAATTCATGGCTAGAGGTTGTATTCTACCCAGAGCTTTGTTTGGACAGTAGTCTGGGCAACTGTACATGTATGGTCGTTTGTTCTTACAAACAGGAAATAGTGACTTGATCTTAAGTATCAGATGAAAATCAGTGCACAGGCCATTAGAATGAAACCGGGGGAATGTAGCTCATGCCAGCTCTGGGTTTGATGCCTAGTGACCCTCTCCAAACTTCTACGAACCATTCTGCCCGTGATTTACAATGACAACTTACATCCATAGGCCGTCAACAGCTCTTCTGAGGTTGGAGGTCGGTAGGGGTCTTCATCTTCTCCAGGCTTTATAATGTTAATACCATAGGTGGCTTCCAAAACATGTCGTGGGATATTCTGGCAAACGTAAACCAGTCAAGGAATCCACTCTTGAACTGACTCTATGCACCCACAGCATATAATACACTATTTTTGCTGCTTCTCACACACGTTCTCCTTCTAAACAGAGTACACTACTTATCCATTTAAACAGCCTTATACACCAGTGATCACATTAAATGCATTCTTTAAAATAACAAGGCGCTGGGTGGTGGTGGTGCACGCCTTTAATCCCAGCACTTGGGAGGTGGAGGAAGGTGGATCTCAGGGAGTTCCAGGACAGCCAGGGCTACAGAGAAACCAAGTCTTGAAAAACAACAAGATGGTTCAGTGGTTAAGAACACTTGTAACTCCAGTTCCAGAGGATCAAGTGCTCTCTCGAGACCTTCAAGGGTACAAGGCATGCAAGTGGTGCACAGACATACATGCAGGCAAACACACACATAAAATAAAAATAAATAAATCTAAAAACAATTATCTCTGAAACAGACATTAACTTTAAGGAATAATATTGTAAACAAACTCTAGCTCTAAGAGAATATCCCAATGGAGCTACAAAGGATCATATCTTTGTTTCTGATGCCTACAACGATGCTGCTAGAAGGCAATACCTCACATCTCCTCAAAGCCTTACTTAGCACACACTAACAACCAGAGTGGTGCTGACACAGAAAGGATATTAGTGATACGGGTGGAACGTGATCTCTCATCTGGTCAATTGGGAGGATCCCATTGCAAATCATCTCTGCTTTGGTAGACACAAAGGATGGCATCACCAGGCCCGGGCAGTCACACAGGCAGAGGCCAGGCTCCACATACAGGGTCTGAAAGACACACAACAAGGTTATGACGGGCACATGTCAATTGAGGGGAAGAGTAATGCTGTGGCAAAGAACTTCAAAATACCTGGAAATGCTTGGTGTGGCCAGGCGTGGCAGACACAGACACTTTCTTGTTGCCCATGATAGTGTTGATGGTTGAGCTCTTACCAACATTAGGGTAGCCCACCTAGAAGAGAACCGGAAGTTACCTGAGTGGTAGAAATACTATCCAAAGTGCTTGGTTGCTCTGAAAGGTGATTTAAAGATGCTCTGTTTGCTTGTTCACCTCTAAGTCTCTCAGCTTCATAGACTCATGTCTGACTCAGGAAGTTTGTTTCTGTGGACTTTGCTGTTGCCCCTACAATAAGTCTCATCCCCTCTGCCTGCCCCACCACGCTCCATTTGTAGGTATTTTGCTGTTTCTTTAACAAAGGGGTGAAGCTGACTTTCAAACATCTAAAGCTGTCAGCACCCAGCAGAAATGTGGCAGGCGATGCAGAGTTGTTTGTAGAACAGGAAGTTAAGCTTTGCTCAGAATGATGCCCACAGTTAAAAAACTCAGAGAGCAATGGAGGCTACGCTATTTCTTGACATCAAAGCATATATAGACAAACCCAGCTTTCTGATACACATGGAAATGAATTTTTGGCGCAGAGAACATAGCCTTAAATCTCAGAGAAATTAAGAAACCTTCTGTGTTCAGGTTAATTCTACTGTAAATTTAGGAAGACTATGTCTGCCTAACCCAAACGCAGGTCTTTAGTTAGTAGTACACTACAGTAAAACCCATTTGCCTCATCACTTTTTTAAAAATAAGATTTTTATTTTTATTTATGTGTAAGGGTGTTTTGCCTTCATTTATGCGTGTGTATCACATGCAGGCCATGCTCAGAGGCCAGAGAGGGTGTCAGATCCCTTGGAGCTGGAATTATGGGTAGCTGTGAGCTGCCATGAGGGTGCCGGGAACTAAATCCAGGTCCCCTGCAAAAGTAGCCAGTGCTCTCGGTTGCTGAGTCATCTCTTTAGATCCTACATTGATTAATATATTTAATAATAAGACAGGCCTGCTGCTTTATTTTAGGTGGTGGGATGCAGAAGAGGCTGGACACAATCAGGATTAGTACACCTAACTTTAACTTAAAAGCTGAGAGACTACTGCTGTGACCTCCTTCCCCTGTTTGGTTTCCCTGGAAAGAACTGCATTATAAATGCCTTCTCTAACCCTCACAGGTCCCCAGCTAAAGAAGGGCCATCTAGAGCCACATTGTCTCCTTGGGGTGTGGCAGTTCCACAGCCACCTTTAAATCAGGTAATATAGTTAGTTGGGGTGTGATCTACTTTCCCCCTTTTTGTTATGTTTATGCAATGAAAGTATCTGTCACAGTTTTTGTCTGGCCAAGACAGGGATTCTCCCTAATGGCATATGAAACAGTATAAGCTGGCAAGGACCACAGGTGTCAACAGAACACCACACTGAAGTCTGGCAACAACATCAACAACTTTCTTGTTCTTGTCTCTCAGTAACTGATGTGACAAGGACCTGCACTGGAAGAAGACCGTAAGATACATTCACTAGAAACATGTATGTAAACAATATAAACTCAGAAATGCTTCCTTTGAGTTGGATCCAGAGGGCACGTTCCCTATGATGTAGAAACCTGACTGTGATGTGGTGCCAGCTTTATGATTTACTTCATCTTACCAGCCCAACAGTTAGCTGTCCATCTTTCACCTTCTTCCCAGTGTGTAGCTTCTTAAAAAGTTCCAGTAATTCCTGCTTCGATACCAGGTGGCTACAATTGCTCATTTGCTGGTTTTCCATTTTTCTGTTCTGAGCCTCAGAATCGGCAGGACACTGTTCCTTGCAGTCCTGACCACAGCCTTCCTCTTCCTCAGGGCTGCTGTCTTCTTCTGAACATGTCTGCCAGTCTTCCTCCTCTTCCTCCTGACAGTCCTCATACTCACTGCCACCTTCGTCACTGGCGGACTCCTCACTAAGTGAGAGCAAATCACTGCGGGGAATTTCATTCTCATCCAAACTGGAGCTTTCAGACTCAGTTCTGTTGGCTTCGTCAGCAATACCGTTTTCTTGGTCCTGATGAAATAACAGAAACCCAGAACTTCAGACCCGTGTAACTGTACTTTTCACTGAGGGGGCTAGCTACTGAAGGAGAACAGGAAGTATGCTGGATGACATGTGGTTACATGGGTGCAGCACAGCAATCTGTCCAGTGTGAGCACATAGTCGGACGACTATTTCCAGAGTGCCCCAGCGAGGGAGGGCAGCAGGCAGATCTTCACATTGGCTGTTGTTTCTGCTGTGCTCAGACTAAGCCAGGGGCTTCTGCATATGAAGCAAGACTATAACACTGAGCTATACTCCCAACCTTGCTTTGCTTTTATAAATGCTTTGAATAAGTCAAAAAGTACTATGAAGTAGGCTCCTGTGTATGAAATTCTGAAGTAGCAAAATTTCATCTTAAATTGGCTATTATTATTTTCATTTTCATTATCATTATCAGTACGACTACTACTAAATACAGGGTCTTACTATGTAGGTCAGGCTGGCCTTGAATCCACTGAGGTTTGTCTGCCTCTGCCTCCCAAGTACTGTGATTAAAGGTATGCACCAAAACACCTGGCTGGCCAAGATTGGCACTTATCTGGGACCATTACAATTGAAGGCAAGCACTTTACCCACTGAGCTATCTTCTCAGCTCTAGAAATTTAAATTATCCACATGTGTCCTAGCAGACAACACATGGAATAAATATGTTCAATTAGGTTCCATCAATTTTAGTGGTAGTCCCAAAAGAAACAGATAAGCACCAAGATGAGAGCCCCAAAAATGGTGTGTATGAGACACGTGAAGGCAAAAAATGAACAATCTGTATAGGAAGGAACTGAGAAGACAAAGCATAAATTCTCAGATCAAAGATCGGGGGCTAACTTTAGCTTTACTGAAGGGAAGAACTTTCCAAAGTCACAGATTAAAAATCATTGAGTTGCCGGGCTGGTCTTGACATGATTATCATAGAGTTAGAGCCCAGAGCCTTCTGCATAGGAAACATTGTTCTCCTGAGTTACACCCTCAGCCAGAATTAGTCAGTGGGAGATAGATAACATGATCACCTGACAGGAAGTGGAGGAAGGAATTTCCTCTTTCAGTTGGAGCTTAGAGCTCAGTAAATTATGAGCTCATTCAAGAGAAAGGGTTGTATTCACAGAACTTATTTTTTAATTTTTCTTGAGACAGGGTCTCTCTGTGTAACCCTGGCTGTCATAGAACTCTTTATATAGACCAGGCTAGTCTTGAACTTAGAGAGATACTTCTGACTACTCTGAGATTAAACAACACTGAGTCTGCATAGTACCTACATTAACACCCATCAAAAAGTCAAAAGATGACTGATAGATAAAAAGAAGATGGAAAATATTACCTCTAAGTGTCTTCTAAATATTAAAGATTCCATGACTGTTTGAAGTTGTTCTGGCAAAATGTGGGTTAAAGATAAAAGAACTAGCATAATATATCTTAATTCAAATTGAGTTTGCTTTAAAAACAAACTCAAATCCTGATAAACCCTGACAAACTACTACACCCTTGAGCTCTACTGTGTGCACTGAGAAGTTTCTCTTAAAAGCAAGTAAGTAAAAAACCACTATGAAACTTCCTTAAGGTCCCAGATGTGACACTGGACATCTCCAATTATCTGAAATCACAAAGACTCAGTATGATTTGATTGAAGATTCTAAGTATTTTCTATAGGCTATCCTATAATCACAGCACCAGAGGGAGGAGAATCACCATACAAAAGTAATTCTTACAAATTGATAATATAAACAAAGCACATTAATCAAATCAAAGTAATCACTGAAATCCACCTTGAGACAGTTACCTTAGAGTGAAGGGTTTCTTCCAAAGCTGACCAGAAAATAACCTTCACACCTTCTTTTTCAAAGTGCGAGGCCCAGGCAAGGCGCTGCTCAGAAGTCAGCAAATCTGCCTTGTTTATCAGGATAACGTTCTCCTTAGCGGTATCTACCTCCTTCACATAACATTCCTGTAAAGACAAAGGCATTTCCAGTCTGTTCAAACAAGTAAGACAAATACTAGGTTAACTACACTGGAGATTCCCAATTCAAGCCTTTATAGCCTCCCTCCATTTTAAATCCCCCCCATTCTCTCTTTCTCCCTCCCCTTCCTCCCTCCCTCTCTGGAGTTTTTTGAGACAGGGTTTCTCTGTGTAGCCCTGGCTGATCTGAAACTCCCTCTGTAGACCAGGTTTGCCTTGAACTCAGAGATCTGACTGCCTCTTTCTCCCAAGTGTTGGGATTAAAGGCGTGTGCTGCCACTGCCAACACCATGCTTAAATCCTTAAAAAAAGTATTCATTATTGTGTGCACAATGATAAATGCACACATGCATGACACAGCATGTAGGTGGAGGTCAACGGAGAACTGAGGAGTCAGTTCTCTTGGCCTACCTTTACATGGGTCCAAAGGGTCAAACTTAGGTCACCAGGGCTTGTGCAGCAAGTGCCTTTAGACCTGCTGAACCACTTCAAAAGAAGCCCTTAAATCACTTTCTAATTTAAAGATTAGAAATTTTGATACATCCTACTAATTGATCCTTTGTGTGAGCTCTGAAAAGAACTTTAAAAGAACCACTAAGATTTGTTACTCATGAATTTAGAGAAACCCTTACAGTCTTCAAATGAAAATATGTACACCACTCATATGTACAGTGTCATGGGTTCACGTATTACATCATTTTAACTAATCTTTATGCCTTAGTACTACTCTGTATTTTATAAGCTTAGTTCATTTGTAAAATAGCATAGGTGTAATAAGATGTAAAAAGGGAGAACTTGGTGAGGTGGATTAAAGTGACTAGAATATCTTAAATAAAAGCAAAATTCCATCCTCACTGCTGTTTTCTAAAAGCAAGAGACCAGCAAATGACTAGCAATAAAGTACCTTCTAGCCCAGCAACTCGAGCATGGCATGCAAATCTCTGTGCTTTCTACAGATGAAAACTACTTCTGGAGCAAACCTGTCTAAAGCAATGCATTATGCAGGCTCCTGACCTTGCAAGGAGAGGGAAGACTAAGTAAACAAGTCAGAGAAGACAGAATGCTTGCTCACAGGTACTGCTGTGAGCAATGCTGCCCTCTCTTAACCGTTCAAGGATCCAAGTCAAACTTTACTTACCAAATCCTCACATCTAAACAGGAGTGGGTTTCGAGCATCCACTATCTGGACCACAATGTCACTGGGGGGGAAAAGGTGAGACAATCCAGTTACTGTAAAGTAAAAGTGACCACTGACTGACACAGTACGTAGCACAGAAACTCACAACAGGTTAAGTGCAGAGAATTAGTGTCTGTGGAATGCTCAGCCACATCCCACTTCCTTTCCTCAATGTCCAGGGACCCTTGAGGAAGAGGGGGCAGAAAGGCTGTAAAAGCCAGAAGTTGAGGACCAGGGTGAAGCAGTGTCTTCTAGATATGGCAGGACCAGTGCACTAATGAACTCAGCAGTGTGGCTGCCTGCACGAGACCTGAGCAAGATCAACCCAGTCCCCACTCCAGCTTAGAGTAGGACAGGGGCTCACATGAAGGCTTCAGGAGGGCCAGTCTTCTTTACGACTGTGGCTCCTGGCTCACCAACCTTGCTCCAGTGGAGGTTCCCATACCCATGAGCACAAATAGGACTCAGCGGGTTATCAAAAGAAAAAAATTGTGTGTATAAAATCCTCAAGTTAGAAAAATATTTAAAAAAGGAACCACTGCCATATATTAATGGTAATGGGAAATACTTTCCATACATTAAGCAGCTGACATACTAAATCCTTAAGGCATAATTATTCAGTTTTTATATAATCTGCCAGAAGTCAGCTAGTAAGTGATGAAGCCAGAATGGGTATCCAGGCTGTCTGGACCAGAGGCCACACTCTTCCTCATTCTACTCATTTGGTTTAGAGGGCTTGAATGACATTGTGCTGCTAAACCTGCCACTATAACCTTTATTAACTTCAGGTCATATAGGAGTATCCTAACCACCCCAAGGTGAAGTTTACTAAGTACTCAGTCTGATCTGAATTCACACTAGTCATTTGTTGACAGCTCCCATTATAAGTCAGTATTGTGTTTAAACCCAAGATGCCAAAGAGGAAACCTTACACCTAGCCAATGATCACCCATAGGTTCAGAGGATGTGTTTAATCAATAAAACACAACTAGGTGTCAGCTTAAGGTGCCACAGTGAAGCATGGATGTCAGTATACATGTAAGACGTGACAGGAAGAGTAAGACAGCTTTCTGCAGCTGACAGCAAGCCCCTCGGGTTCAGCTGGATGTAGAAGGGACACACAGCCAGCATGATCAACACTGCAGCATTTCCTCCTTGGAACTCTTACTTCCTGTCTCTGAGACTCCCTCTCTTCCTTCAGCCTCTGTGGCTAGGAAGATGGCCAGGGCGTATGGCTACCACTGAAAAGATACATCATCCTATAGTGCTCTCACCAAATCCTAATTTGGTCAGCCAACTGCTGTTTCTTCAGACAAAGGCCTCATCCTATTGGCACAGAATTCACTATGCTGGTCTTGAACTGGATCTGCTGTGCTCATCTTACAAGTAGAGGCATGTGCTGGCTTAGATTTGCTAATTTTTAACAGACTGTTTTAAATTTATCTAATTAAGCTAGTTTCAGTATCTCCTTCAGGGTGAAACTCACTTTCAAACCAAATTAAGCTAAATGACTGTAAAAACTAATAGCCTAAACCACAACTAGACAAATAAACCTTAGCTCTATCTACCAACACACAGAAGGAAAAAAACAGCTTCAAATCAGCAGGAGGGAGACATTCCAGGGTAGACTGTTGGAGGCAATCAGGTAACAGTCTCAGTGAAAATACCTCACTGGAAGAGAATGTTCCGTGCCCTGAGCCCACTTTCCTGCATTTCTTCCATGTTATATATCAAATCTTTTTTGATAACCGCTGTTGAAATTAAAGAGACAGATGGCTCAGTCAGTCTGTTAGCAAACAGGAGACATCTGCTATAGTGAAGACATCAATAAAATATTTCCTGTTAATGATGTGGCAGTAGTCACTTTGCTAATATTTTTGGATAACTCAGGTCTATTGCTATGTGATACAACCCATATTGTGTGATTAAAACATACTGCTCTATTAAGGAATGGGTTGACAAGATGACTCAGTCAGTAAAAGCACATGCCGTCAAGTCTGATAACCTGAGTTAGACCCTGACCCGTGTGGTGTAGGACAGAACCAGTTCTCACAAGTTATTCTCTGATTCCCACAAGTGTGCCATGGCAGTCAATGTCTGTCCCCACCATGTGGATACTCATAAATAGTTAAATGTAATAGGAAACTTTAAAAAGGAAACATGCTAATGGTTCAGCAAGTACTACTGTACTCCAATTAAATCTCCAGTTTTTAATATGAATAGACTCACTTTGGGGAATTCAGATGTTAACTTAGGGCCATAAAAAGTAACCACAGTACAAGTTTGTTAGTCATGGAAGACTGAATATATATAGTTACTTTTGCCCCCCCCCACAATCTACAAGAACAAAAGTAACGACCCTCATTAAAGAGCAAGAATGATGGCCAGCCATCAGAAATGTCTAACCAGTGAGAAGCAAGACTGTTTATACCCCAGAGGCCCAAGCAAGAGTTGAGCACCCAGGCTGGTTGGCAGCGTCTCCAACTGATACTTGGGCATGGGACAAGATGGGGAAGGGAGGTGTTTAAGAGGAGGGATTAAACATAAATTGACCTGTGAAGATGCCCGACTCGTTTACATCACACGGCTCTGGAAATTCATTTATTCATTCATTTTTAGATTTTTCCAATAAGTTTTAAGGTATGTTCTAACAATTTTCTAAATTTCATTGCTATCTGTCATAATGGTTCCCCCTTTGCCTCTAATTTTATTGATGAGTCTTCTCTCTTTCATTTGATTTGGCAAAGAATTTGTTCATCTTTATCATTTTTTAAAAGAATCAACTCTATTTCATTGATTTTTTTTCTATTTCCATTAATTTTGGCCCTGATTTTAATTACTGCTTTTAATCTACCTAGAGCTCACTATGTAGACCAGGCTGGTCTTGAACTCATGAACTCAAGAGATCCAGCTACCTCTGCCTCTGGAGAGTTGGGACTAAAGATATTTGCTACCTTGTGCTCCCCTCCCCCAATTCCTTAATGTGGGCACTTAGAATTGGCTTTTCCCATAGATTGGGTATGCTGTGTTTAATTTATCTTTCCTTCCTCCCTGTCTGTCTTTCTTCTCACTGTAAGAAACACACAGGGTGTGGTGAGATGGCTCAGTGAGTAAAGGTGCTGACATCAAGCCTGAGCACACAATTTCAATTCTTTAGAAAAGAGAGATCCAACTTCCTGGAGTTGCTCTCTGACCACATACGCATGTGGCACACATGCACAATAAACAAGTATAGAAAAACAACAACAACAACAACCCCTGACAGGTGCTAAGGAAAGATATAAAGATACTAACATCTGGGAGTATTCCAAACAAACGCATCTGATCCCTGCCCAGTCTCTCTACAGAGATGTTCACCACTAGGCAAACTTCATCTAAACAGTTTTCTAATACTTCATTATAAAATATGAATGGAAAACAAGTGTCAATCATTTCAGGAAGCCTCATATGTAAACAGAAGAAGCCAGGATAAACAGAAAAAGGAACTGTAGAAAGCACTGGTATCTTCCATCAAGGTCAACAGGGTATACTACAGAGCTTGTGCCCACTGTTCCTTGGAAATAAGCAACACCCATCCTCAACTGCTCTGAAGGACACAAATCCATTCTGCTCAGCCAAAGCTCCCCAGGGGAAGAGTTCAGGATCTCCAAACTCAGCATAAGAGGAGCTTTTGCAGAACCCGCCATTAGCAGCAAACTTCTGCTGGGTGGGAGGTACGGGGGCTTTAAAAAGCTGAGGCTTCACTCATCCCTTTCCATGGTTTTAAGAATATTCACAAAGTTCTGCCACCATCTAACTCTTTTCAAAAAAGAAATGCAATTTTTTACAAGTTAAAGTCAAATCCCTATTAAATGAACCTGTTTCTGACTGTTCTTGCTAGGCACATTTTCTGGACTTGAAATAAACACAACTCAAACATCTCTTATTAAATCCTTGAAAGTAATTAAACAACTTTTTAAGAACATGGTCTTCTAACCAGACAGAAGAAGAGAAATAGAGAATGATGATCCAGGAATTCTCCTTGGTGGCATGAGGCAAAGAATGAATCTTCCTTCCACCCCAACTCATAAAAAAAATCAATTTAAAAAAAGTCACCTTGGTTGGGCATGGTGGTGCCTTTAATCCCAGCACTTGGGAGGCAGAGGCTAGCTTGGCCTATAGAGTGAGTTCCAGGACAGTCAGGACTATACAGAGAAACCCTATCCCTAAAACAAACAAAAACAAACCTGATCCTTATCAATCATGCCCTCTAATGCTTTAACCCCACTGTCTTCGCTCTACAATCACACCGCCCCTGGTCTTTCACTAGGCACCATGTGCTGAGCTTAAGGACTGCTCTGGAGCTTGGCTGAGCAGTCTCCTCTCACAGCACATACTTCAGAAGCTGAGCTTTTCCATTCCTGTTTTCCATATTATCAGGAGGAACACAACATTCAATGTATATTGGCTGAAGTAACCACAGGTACTCCAGAACTCACCTCATACAAACATTTACTCATTTATTCACTTACTTATTTTGAGACTTATTTATTTTCATTGTATGCGTGTAAGTGTTCGGGTGCATGTACGTCTGTGCACAATGCATCTGCAATGCCTTGGAGGCCAGGAGAGGATGCTGGCTCCACTGAAACTGGAAATAGAGATAGCTATGAACTGCCATGTAGTGCTGGGAACCAAACCCAGGTCTTCTGTAAGTCCAACAAGTGCTCTTAAGTGTTGAGTCATCATTCAGGCCTATCACTATTCTTACACACTTGTCAAATGTACTCATCTGATTGTGTGTGTGTGCATACATATCCCCATTCATCTATCCCCTGGTACGAAGAATGAATCTAGGATCTTACACATGTTAGGTAAGTGTTCTAAAACTCAACTACTTCCCAGACCTTAAAAAACAACAACAACAAAAACACCCACTACAATTTAAATGAAATATAGTATCATATTTTCAGGTTCTTAAAAACAAAAAAAGACGTAAAGACACGTGTTTTAAATTGTGTGTATGTGTCTATGTGAGTGTATACAGGTGGCCATGGAGGCCAGATCCTTGCCACTGGAGTTACAAGTGGTTGTGAGGTATCTAATGTGAGTGCTAGGAGCCAAACTTGGATCCTCTGAAAGAGTAGCAAGAGCTTTTAACTGCTGAGTCATCTCTCCATCCTATAAAAGTTTCATCCTTGCATATAGTACACTCTGATTATGCTCTCTCTCCCTCTCTCAGTTCCATCCCAGCTATGAACACCTCCCTCACCTTACAAGCTCCTTTCCCAGATTTAGACGTATGTGGTTTAGCTTTGTGATTGTTTATAGTTTAGCCAGGACCACTTTCTGCTTTTCACGGTTCTCAACAGCTCAATGTGCAATTTAATCTCCCTCCTGCTGGATCCAGAGCTGGGAACATAGTCAACATTAGGCTCAGAAACAACACTGCAATGTCTTCATTAAACAAGGGAAATATTACTTACCTTCTCTCAATGACCCTCCAGAGTTGGCGCCAAAAGTCCAAGTTTCGTTCAAAGGGAGTCAATATCAACTTCTGTTCCTCTTCTAGCCTGTTTAGAATGAGAAGGTTACGTCTCTGCTTGATCAAAATAGTTTTAAAGAATTATAAACACTCAAATTCAGTACGTTAAGAAGATACATATACGAATACTACAAGTTATTGCTGTTTATGGTCCTTGCCAGGCAAGTGCTCTCCCACTCAGCCACATGCCAGTCCCCCTTACTCTTTGTAGCCTAGGAAGGCCTTGAGAACTTGCAGTCTTCCTTCTCCGCCTTCTGAGTAGCTGAAATTACAGCCCTACACACCAGACCAGGCTCCACCCAATCACTTTCATATACCCATTGGTGAGTCAATGCAAGAATAAAACTTAGTCATATTCCACAAATTTTATCCTTATACCGCAGGAGTTTCTCTCCCACAACTTTTACTAGAAGAATGTTCAGAGGAGCACCTCTGGGCCACAGAAGGGAACTAAAAGGGGCCAGACAGATGGTGATATTTTGTTTATGATCTAACAAATAAAGCTTGCCTGAAGATCAAGAGTGCAAAGCTAGCCACATGAGTTAGCCAAAGAGGCCAGGCAGTGGTGGCACACACTTTTAATCCCTGCATTTTGGAGACAGGCAGACAGAGCTCTGTTGGGTCAAGGCTGCTCTGAGCTACACGGAATTGATCCAGTATAAAAGAGAAACAGAGCTCACACAAAGGTGATCTCAGCACTTAGGATCCCATGCCTTTAATCCCATACTAGAGAGGAATATAAGGCAGGAGGAGACAGGAGCTTATTGCAGTGTGGGGAGCAGTGCAGTCTGGAGATGCAGTCTGAGGACAGGATCGTCCCTTTGGTCTGAGTATTGGTAGAGGTGAGAACTCTAGTGGCTGGCTGCTTTGCTTTTCTGATCTTCAACTTTAACCCCAATAATCTGTCTTTGGGCTTTCATTATTAAGAATAATTATAGACTTCAAGCTACAGTTAACAGCACCCACATAGCATTTAGTCCCAGGGGATCTGATGCCCCCTTCTAACAATGTATGCACATGGTGCACATATACACAAACACACACTCGGGCAAACACATACACACAAAATAAATAATAAGAAAAGACTAGGAATATAGCAGAATAACCACCAAGCACCTTTGTGCACAGCTGCATATGCACCCAGCAATGCTGTCTATATATACACCCAAACCCACCTGTAATAGACACTACCACCCTCCCCACACCTGAAATTGCATTTTCTTTATTTATTTAGTGTGCATGTTTAGAGGCCAATGGATAACTTGGGGAAGTTGGTTCTTTCCTTCTGCCATGTGGGTCTTGAGAACGGAACTCAGATCATCGAGCTTGGCAGCAGGTGCTTCCACCTGTGGAGTAATCTCACCAGGCCCAGTATTACCCTTCAAAAGAATCAAAACTTCAGGAGGCAAATGGCAGTGCAAGCTAAAATGCCTAAACCCAGGGCTTCCAGGCAAATCTTCAGAGTCCAGTACTCACCGGACAAGCTGGCGTCTCCATTTCAGGAAGTTATCCTTTTCTGCCTGTTTCAGTTCTTCTGGGCTAGTTTTTCTGTCCCAATTGGGTCTGAAACAATCGTACAAGGGAAGAAATTTTATATATATATAATCTACCAAAATAAAAAGAGAATTTGGATGCAAATGGCAGCTGAGAAGTAGGAAATTATGAACAACTAATAATTTTTTTTATTATTTTATGTGTATTGACTGTTTGTGCCTGCAGAGGCCAGAAGAGGGCATCACATGCCCCAGAACTGGAATTATAGACAGCTGTGAGCGGCCATGTAATCTAATCCTTTATTTACTATATATACAATATTCTGCCTGCATGTATTCTTGCACACCAGAAGACGGTACCAGATCTCATTATAGATGGTTGTGAGCCATCATATGGTTGCTGGGAATTGAACTCAGGACCTCTGGAAGAGCAGCCAGTGCTCTTAACCTCGAGTCATCTCTCCAGCCCCATTCTGTCTTTTTTTTTGGGGGGGGGGTGATTTTGAGACAAGGTAACTTTGTCCTGGAACTTGGAGATCCACCCGACTCCCAAGTGCTGGGAATAAAGGTGTGCACTACTACTGCCTGGCCCATTCTATGCCCTCTAATGATCTAAATTCTTGTTCAACGTACCTCCTCGGTATACACAAGAACTGTCTGTTTTCCTCCTGGAGTTTTTTAATTCTCTGGCTCTCCTCAAAAGACAGCAGTCCAGTTCTAGCTTCAGGGAGCACGAACTTGATATTAAGCTTCTCTATTCAAGAAAAGAAAAGTGCTATTCGTCATGATGCAATCTGGAGGCTGAGGATGTATCAGATGCTGCAGTGCCTGCCTAGAGGGCATGAGCCCTGAGTTCCACCCCTAGCACCAGATGACTGGGTGTAGTGGTCCTCAACTGCAATCCCAGCACTGGGGAGAGGCAGGAGGATCAGGAGCTAGGAATTCAAACTGAGTTTGAGGTTAGCCTGGGCTACATGAGAATCTGACTCAAATCCAAAACAGGTAATTTAGAGTACTGAACGCTGATCATTTTGATGAGCTTGAACACTAACCACTTCCTAAAACAGAATTTAAGCCTTCTTGGGTTAATTTTTAAATTAATTTTTTTCTACAGAGATAACTTTGCAAGAGAAAGATCTTCACTACCTCACTAAAACCTCCACAATGCTAAGACTTCTTTGGGTACCACATTACAAAATTCTATGTGGTGAGTGGATTTCATGGAAATAGAAACAGTAACAATGGGAAAGCATTATAAAGAATTAGTGTAACAGTTTCCTCATTTTACATATGTAGAATAGTTTTATGTTAAAAGGAGTAGAGGCAAAGATTTAGTAAAAGACATTCCTTCCATTTAGAACGAGCATACTATTATGGTTGTAATTTACACAGATATGTATTAATGGTCATTATTAGTGACTTGATCCCGGGTGAACTAGTAATGGAGAGATGCATGCTCTAACCCTTGGCTGCTGGAGCAGCCAGTTTCACCACTCAGTTACCACCCAGACTGCATGAGCAGAGACCTGAGAAGGCACTGCGCTTCCTCCTGAAGTGGCAAGTGAAAGCTCTATTTCAAAGCCAGCATCTTCCATAGCAATCCTCTTCACCCTGAGCAAGGACCGCAGCCTGCTACCATCAAACCATCACAACACCAAGTAAGATCCCGCACTCTTGTAACCTACACTGCTGCTAACCTGCCGGACTCTCACCCATATAAGGCTCAACTGACCCTAGCCACTTCCCATCCCCGATGCTTCCTTCCACAGAAAGTTAGCATCTCCATCTGATGGTGACTGCCCACTGTACCCCCACTTAGCCCCTTGATTCCTGCCCTTTTACTCAGTCTACTGGGCACCTCCAAAAGCTAAGTCTTTCGCTGATTAACTGGAAGTACATGCACTCAATCACTGCTGGATTCCTTACACCACTGTACACTAACCTCTACTTACCTGTTTTTGTTTCTCATGTGTCATGAGATGTATACTGCTATAGGAAATGACACCAGACTATGGCTACCTGGAATGGCAATGGCTAGGCTAAGACCCCAGCCTTCTCATGGAAGGAGGAACTCATTCTAGCGCTCGATTAACCTGCTCCAGGCCCTAAGCGGCAACTGTTCTGTCCTTCCCTTTCCTGAGGGTAGCCTTGTCATCAGCTCCATGAAGGGGCAACCAAAGCCTGCTAGGTGGCACCATTGCTCCACAGGTCCCTAGATGTGCACTCCTTCAGTACCCTCCCTTCTGCCTCAGAGGGAGCTCCAGCCTTCACTCTATCCCTGCCACTCCAAGACTCTCTCTTGAATTAAACATGTAACCTTACAAATAGCTTTTTCTAATATTCATGTATATACATAGGCTGGTCACATACACCTTATTTTTATTTATGGGGGTGGGGAATATGGTACATGTAGAGTTCAGAAGCCAACTTGATGGAGTTGGGTTTCTCCTTCTACCATGTGGGTCCTGGGGACCTAACACAGGGTGTGAGGGTTGGCAGACGTGCTTCATCCTCTGAGGCATATCTGCAGCCTGGTCAGGTACTTTTCATGACCCACACGAAATGCACCCGCCTACAACTTAGTCTTTTTGTCTGACAATAGGCCTTGGAGATCTTTCATGTTAAGAGCTGGAGTAAATCCATTCCGTTCAACTGCTGCTCAATAGTTCAGCCTGTCTACGCCAGTGCAGATTCAGAGTCAGGAGTGTGTTTATGAACAAGGTCTCTGAGTCATTGATGCCCAGTAACACAAGAAGAGCCCCTCGGAGCAGTGTGCTGGTTCACAGACAAAAGATGAATTAGGAGACATGTCTTAGTCAGATCTGGAGGAAGGAATGGGGACAGGAATGTTGGGTGCAAGAATAAGGCAGGCCAGCTGGGCAGAGTTGGTGAAGAGCAGGGAGTTGAGGGTAAACTATTGGATTTCAGCTTGGCACATTCACCTCACTAACTTGCCCCTCTTCTAACTTGCAAACCCAACAGTCTTCCTTTCAGAGGAGTAGGGTCTCGCTGTATAGCCCTGGCTGTCCTGGACTCACTAGGAGATAAGTTGGCCCAACTCACAGAGATCCACTTGCCATATGGGGATTAAAGGCGTGCACTGTTTTTCAATCCATACAACACAAACTATGATTCACTCACTCTTTCCCTCCCACACATCCACCCACCTACAACCACATGCAAATGCTCTGTCTGGCAAAGGGTACTAAGAACCTTTTAAAATTTAACTTTACGGAGGTAATCCACATTCAGCCAGAAACCTCAAAGAGAAATGGTTATCTATTACCAGGTACTTCCCATTCCCTATCCTGTCTTTATAAATATGCCTACTCTGGACTTTTCATATCAATAGAATCATATGTTTTTATTCTTTCCTGCTGCTGGGAACTGAACTCAGGACTTTCCACATGCTTGGCAAGTGCCTTACCACTGAATTATATTCCCAGTTCAGAATGTTTTAAAAGGTCCTGAATGTAGTAGTCTACATTCAGAAAAGGAAACTTTCCTTTTCTTTGTGGTCAAATAATACCCTATTGCATAGATGTGCAACATTTTGTGTATCATTAGCTAATAGAGATCAGGGAGCTTCCATTTTGTTTTTTATTGGCAAATGATACAACTAAGAACATCCAAGTACAAGTGTTTACATAGACATGTTTTTGGTTATCTTGGTTATATATCCATAGTGAAGCTGCTGGATTACATGGCAATTTCACTCTAACCTTTTAAGAAACTGCCAACATAGCTTTTAAGTGAGCTGCACTATTTTATAAACAATGTATGAGGTTCTAATTTCTCCACAGCCTCACCAACATTTGTTTATCAACTTTGTAATGTCAGCAAGGGCAGTGAGTGAGGTGAATGTGCCAGGCTGAAATCCAATAGTTTACCCTCAACTCCCTGCTCTTCACCAACTCTGCCCAGCTGGCCTGCCTTATTCTTGCACCCAACATTCCTGTCCCCATTCCTTCCTCCAGATCTGACTAAGACATGTCTCCTAATTCATCTTTTGTCCTTAAAGCCACCAGCCAATTTTTACAACATTGAAGTCCTGTAACAGCAATTATAGAAAACAGAAAAAAGGTTCCTCAAATAAATAAATAGGCAAACCAACAAACAAACAAACAAAGGACTGAGGTGGTGGCACATGCTTACAACCCCACACTTAGGATGGTGAGGCAGGAGGATCACACATGCTTACAACCCCACACTTAGGATGGTGAGGCAGGAGGATCACAAGCCTGGGTAAGACTAGCTTACACAATAAGCACAAGGCTGGTTTCTACTATAGTAAGGACCATGTCTTAAAAAAAAAATTAAAAAATAGACATAAGGGCCGGACATGGCCAGGTAGACCTGGGGCACAGATACATACACAGGTAAAACACTCAGGTGCTCGTGTGCGCACACACACACCCCATACAGGAGGCCATGGAGAGGCTCTATACAATGCTATGACCTTTTATATAAGGGAATTAAGAACCTGTGTAATGGGGTGGGGTGAGTATGCTGTGACTATTTCTACAGGCATTGAGGGACAGTTGTATTATACTAAGGAACAAACTGCACATTATGTACAAAAGAGCATTTCTTACCCTTTAAAGACAAGAGAATCTCGACATCTGTAATGTGGATGAACATTACACTAATGGAAATAAGCTAGGCACAGAGAAAGTGGCCTCACTCCTATGTACAACTGAAAAGGCGGAGCATGTAGAAACAGGGAGTGATGAGGAAAAACAGAAAGAAGGCCAAAGAGTGCAAAGTGTAATGAGGCAGGAGGAGTTCTAGAAGGTAATGATTAGCATGATGACCTCACCTAGGAATAGTGGACTGTCACTTGACATCTACCAAGAGACTAGACTCTCTTACCACACACAAGAACCTCGTGTAGTGACAGATCTGTCAACCAGCTTGAAAGTCACCTGTACGCCCGTGTGTATGTTAAGACATATCGTGTACCATAACTACATAAAGCAAGGAGGCAGGAAGTATGAACACCCTCCAAAAACAACCCCCCCAAACAAAACACAACAGAAAACAACACTTGAAACCATGTCATTACTTGTCTAAAAACCTATAAAGGCTTTCTCTGTGGCTTTGGAGGCTGTCCTGGAACTTGCTCTGTAGACCAGGCTGGTCTCGAACTCACAGAGATCCTCCTGCCTCTGTTTCCTGAGTGCTGGGATAAAAGGCATACACCACCACCACCCAGTCATGAGTTCCATCTTTTACGGCCCATTGTTTTCTATAGACTTCTTCTGAAACATTTAAAAGCAATAAATTTACCTTTTAACATTATTCTGAGTTGCTAGCACAATGTTTGAGAGTAACTGGTGTTAAATAAAGGCATTTTGAACAAATGAATGAAAGACTTGCTAAGCAGTATGCCATTTACTATAGTTAGAGCAGTAACTTCCAATACTGTCGGTTACTCTTCTAAGTGCTTAGAACGCAGCCCCCCCCCCCAACACACACATACCAGGGACTAAGTACACCACACCACAGTACCTGACAGCAGCAACAATATGCACCGAGCTTGATGTGAGGATGTACAATCTGAAGTGGTTTTTGTTCTGTCTTACTGTGTAACCTTGGCTGGCCTGGGATTCATAGAGATCTGCCTACCTCTGTCTCCAGAGTTCTGAGATTACAGGTGTGTGCCAGCACCCCTGGCCACATCTGAAATATTCTTTAGAGTTGAATTAAAACCAGTGTGGACTTTCCCTCACAACCATGGAACTTCCCCATACTTCCTTTGGATTAAAGACAGACATTCATACCAGTGTCACAGGCACTCAGTAATAAACCACTTACCAGCTACAAACTCAGTCCCTGCAAGTTCTGCAGTTGCAAGAAAGTCATCAAGGGAGCTCTGTTCCGTCACTGACTGGAGATTAAGACGACCCCAGTCATAGCCATCATTGAGTTCACTCGTGTGCAACTGTGAGGAAAACACAGGAGAAAGATTAAAGCAGCTCTCCTCCACTTTCAGCGTCCAATCAGCGCTAAACTTTGCTGGTCCTGGTCTATGTCCTCAAGTTGCTTTGACTGCTAGAATGTACATTACTGATAATTAAGGACAGTTAGGCTGGGGCATAGCTCAGTAGAATACTCAAACCTTTGCTGTCAATGGCAACAACATCCAGCAATGTAAAAGTCCCAGATCAAATATTTAAATGAACACTTTCCTACCTCAGCAAGGGTACTTCCCTTCCACCATTCAGTGTCATCTTCAGACTCTTTTGAATTTTATTGCATTCCCATTTTACTATTTAGTAGGCAAAATAATTTGTCTAGAGTAGAGAGGTAGAACTAGAACCCAGAATGTACTGACTCTGCCAGCCACTTAGTTGAAAAGTTTCCATAGGGACTTACGAGAAGGAATATTTTGAAGCCGGGCAGGGTGATGCATGCTGTCATCACAGGAGCTGAGGCACAGAGACCACAGGTCTAAGCGCCATCCTGAATTGTGTTAGAGTTCTATTCCCCACTTATCCTTAGTCTCCTCTACCCTAAAACCCCAAGGGCTGGAAGTCTGGATTGGCTGGGATGACCATTAAAAATAAAGATCTAGTTGCAAACTATTAAACTGACTTTCCCATACAACCCAGAGTTTGACAAGTACTATCTGGTTATATGCTTACTTAGAGGTTAACAGCCTCTCTCTTCCACAAAGTCTACTACAACAATAAGTCACCATGAAGTCAGTTAGACGACCAATAGCCAAATGTCCAGACTTGAACACCAAGAAGCATGAGTGTATTCCTCAGACTATCAGGCTGGTTGGAAAATGGGATAGTGTGACTGACATAAGTCACATTAGCACCAGCGACAAATAACTTCAACACAAGATCTTAATGAGAGCTCAGAACTTTCTCAAATATTCTGGAGAATAAAAGTGACAATAAACAACAAAAAAAATCAAACCACTTCATTTTTTTTTAAAACACAGTAGCCATGGTGGACCTTAAAGTCATTATGTAGACCAGGCTGGCCTTGAACTCATAGAGATCTGCCTATCTCTGCCTCCTGAGTGCTGCAATTAAAATAATCTCTACATTCGTTTACTTTTTAAGGCTTCTACTACGCTCTTCCCCAAGCTTCTAGAGACAACGTTAATTCTTTGAGAGAAGCACAAGGAAAAGCAGGGATCGGAGTTATTGGTTTTTTTGATGGAACCAATCGGTTCTCGATCGGTCCAGCCAAGCGTGATCACGGCTTGTAATCCCAGTATTCTACAGGCAGAGGCAGGAGGAAGACAGTCCTGGGCCAGCCTGGGCTGCATGCGGAGACTGTTTCAAAAAATTTTAAGATAACAAATAATGTTCTCTTTAGAAATTTCCAAGAGCGCCATGGCTTCTAGAGCAAAGATGAAACACCGGCAGACGTTCTGACATGAAAGGCTGTACACGTTTTCATTCCCACCTCACCACACATGAGTTCCTCTGGGCCCTGCGCCGGCAGGGACCTGCTTCGAAACCCTGCTCAGGAGTGACTTTGCTCCAACTTTTGTAGCATGGAGGCGCTCATAACGAGACGGAAAGGGTAAGGATACTAAGGATTTTCTTACCCAGGAGTCAGTATGGCGGTGGCTGCGGCTTCGCTGAGTCTGATGCCGGAGAAGTACCCGGCCCAGAGACCCGCTCCCGCTCCCCGGCGCTCTCCTCCGGCCCATGTCAACTCTAAAGCGGTAGGAACCTTCTGCTCGCAGCCCGAGACGTTTCTGGTTATTAGGCCTCTCAATCAGGAAGTGACGTATGAGCGAGTCCAAGTAGTTCTGGCTGGGGGAATAGAAAGACTTGTTTCCGAACGTTTTTGGCAGATCTAGAGCTTGAAAATACTATAGAGAAGAAATGTTAAGATTGTTCTGGGGACTCCCCCTTGTGGATATTCCTACGACCGTTACAATTTTGGATAGACTGACCTACGTAAGAAAATGGTACATTCCAGACTTGTACGTCAGTGTTTAAAGTTCGGTGGGAAACTGGAACAACTGGAAAATACGACCTCTCCGGTTCACAGGACTAACTCCACCTTCCCAGCTGCTTTCGTCAGGAGGAGGAGGAGGGGACTCGGTGTAGGGAACCTCTGTGACTCTAGGTGGCTGGAGGTTCCTGACGCTGGTTTTTCGCCCAGCAATTAAATCAGTTTTTGTTTTTCTAGTATTCTTTAGCTGTGGAGCGGGAGAAAAGTTCCCACCTGCTCATTTTGGAATGAGCATTTGAAAAGCATTTCCAGAATTTAAAGGGGAGAACGAAAGCCGAGAGAGGGGGGGAATGGGGAGAGGGAGGGGGAGGGGGGGAAGAGAGAGAGAGAGACACAGAGAGAGAGAGAGACACAGAGAGAGAGAGAGACACAGAGAGAGAGAGAGAGAGAGAGAGAGACAGAGAGAGAGAGAGACAGAGAGAGAGAGAGAGAGAGAGAGAGAGAGAGAGAGAGAGAGAGAGAGAGAGAGAGAGAGAGAGAGAGAGAGAGAGAGAGAGAGAAAGTAAAAAAATGTTTACCAGGCGGGGCGGTGGTGGCGCACGCCTTTAATCCGGCGCACGTCATTAATGCCACGCACGCCTTTAATCCCGCGCACGCCATTAATCCCACGCACGCATGCCTTTAATCCCAGCTCTCAGGAGGATCTCTGTGAGTTCGAGGCCGGACTGGACTGAAAGCCTCCAAAACAATACAGAGAAACCCTGTCTCGTAAAACCAAAAAAAAAAAAAAAAAAAAAAAAAGTTTATACTGGTTCCAGTGAGCATTGTATCAATATTTTCCTATAATTAAAATCAAAGCAAAAATAGTGAACGGGCTCCACTAATAGATATTTAGTGGCTCCCACCAATCGTTATCTTTCCATATAATGTGAATAAGTCGGATTAAGCCAGGGGTGGTGACACACACCTTTAATCCCAGCACATGGGAGGCTGAGGGTGGCAGATCTCTACATATAAACACGAACTCCAGGACAGTGAGACCTGTTTAAAAAAAAAAAACAAAGAAAACAGTCGGGCAGTTGTGGTGCAGGCCTTTCCTCGGGAGGCTGAACCAGGCAGATCTTTGTGAGTTCAAGGCCAGAGAGTGTACAGAGCGAGTTCTAGGATAGCTAAAGCTCTACGGAGAAACCCTGTCTGGGACTCTCTCCTCTTCCTCCCAAAATATCAGCTTTTACTCACGTGTGTGCCGAACAACATTCTCACTGCTAGAGAGACCACTACGATGGGCCACTCAGACAAGGAAGCCGTAGATCAAAGATACGCAGTGTCCAGGAATCCAACTCAAGTCTTGCTACTTTTCCATGCATTATTGAGAGGACTATGGGTTAACATGTTTTGTAGAGTCATAGGATCAAGATAGCTCATTTGTGTTAACTAGCTTTATTAAGCTATGTACAACATTGAAATATGACTATATTTGTCAGTTAAAATAATTAAGGGAAATCATAAGAATCAAGAAGTCACCTGCTCTAATACTTTTCCAACTTTAATGTACACTGAAATCTCCTTAACAGGTTGGCTGACTCATAGGCTTTGGGTCAGGGTCTGTTTCCAACAAGTTTCCAGGTAACAAGGATGCGAAAGGCTCACAGACCACGCTTTAGCAAGAACAGCCCGTTCTTTTCTGGTGCAGAAGAGACACTGGGTGGACTAACTACAGGTCATTCATACCACGTTAGCAGCAGGCAGAATTGGGGCCACAGCACTCACTCACTTCTGACTCTTTGTCACATCCTTTTTGTGTGCTGCCCCTCCACTGGACTCTTCTGTAACTGGAGTGAGCTTCGGGGAGCTGACAAACCCAGCAGCAGTTTGAAAGGTGTTGGGAAACGCAGTGCTAACAGGCCAGAGCAGGAATGCTTTCTCTGAAAAGAGCATGGTTTCTCCATTTCCCAACTTAGAAGCATGACTGTAAAATCTCTCTACAAATCTCTATGAAGAAGATAGGGAGAAGACACCGTGACAGAATTAGACAGAGCTTCTGGCATTGCTAACAATAACCCCAACTCAAGGAAATGAAAAGGATCATGCATTTTAATAAAGGCAACAACAACAGTCTTGAGAAAATGGTCATCTCATTCCTAGAGTTTAGCAGATAACTCAATGCTTCACCTTAGTTTCCTTTTCCTGGGCTTTTGAAAAAGCAAACACTCAGGTGTTTGTTTTCGTCATAATCTAGGTTAGCCTCTGTAAAGGGTGGCTTTTCCTTGCTAGCCACTTTGGTTTATCACCCGCCAGCCGCCTGGGCTCTGCCGCATTGTAGTTCCCAAATAACACACAAGACGCTATATTAATTATGAAGCTGTTGGCCTTGCTTGTTTCTTACTGGCTAGCTCTCACTTAAGTAATTACCCCATAATTGTTAATCTAAGTATGTCTCTTACCGGAGAATAGTTCTGGGCTTCCTACCCCATGGCGGTTACATGTTGACTCTCCTGTGTTTCTCCTTCCCAGAATCCTCCTGGACTCCTAGTCCCACCTATCTAGATTCCTATTGGCCAACAGTGCTTTATTAACAAATGTACAGGACTTCTCCCATCAAGCCTCAAACTCAGATCTTCCTACTTCTGCTTCCCAAGTGATTGGAATCATAGGCACTACGCCCACCACTCTGGGTTTCTAACGTTGCTGCACCCACTGCGCAGCCTGTATCCGAGAATGTGCAGAGGGTGTTGGGACTGACGACACAGAGACCAGAAGGCTCCTCAAGAAGGCTCTCTTTTATTCCTACTCTGGCTGGTTATTATATACCCTGACACCAGAGGCGGTGGTGGGTGGTTCTAAAAGAGGCAGTTAGTCTTTGGAAAAGGTCGAGGTCAGGGTCTTCTCATGGGCGAGCCCTTTTCAGGAACTTATTGCCCTGGGCACTGTATTGTTTTTAGTGAACATGCTTTTAGTAAACATTGTCTTACAGCTGCCTACTCCCAGGCTGATGGGGAAGTGGGTCTCTGGCCAAGGTCTGTTGTCCCCACAATTCCCCCTTTTTTATTTTCTAATGAGGTACTCCTGTCTTAGGTCAAGTAGGGTCACCCTCCCTTGTCTGTCCTTGGGGACCTGGTGACCCCTGTCTTAGGTGGGAGGGGTCTTCCCCACAGGTTGCCCATCATCGAAGAACCTCATCCTTAAATCATCTGTAACCAGACTTCATGGTTACCGGGATTGCCATGGGCTAAGCTGAGCAATACTTGGGGATGGATCTCTTGCCTCTGGAACAAGGCACGTTTGAACTCGGCATAAAGCAAGAATGCCTACCCCCCACTGCCACCATTTCCAGGACCCCCATTGACATAGCAGTTTGTCAGCTGAATATGCGACTTGAGCCAAAGTCTCCTTTTTGTCTCATTAGGACAAGTTGCATTTCTCCAGAAAAATGCACTGGCATAGGCACGATTCCAGAAACAGGAGCCACCAAGGCTGATATATTTCAAGTGACCTTATCCTGTTCAAATACTGAAAAGGGGCTTTTGCCACTCATTACAGTCCATACCAATGTCCAAATGTTTTAAATAGGTCCTTTTTTTCCCAAAGGGAAAAACTGGCAAAATGAATTCTGTTGTTTCAAGGTGTGTCAAGGGCAGACTGTTAATCTTCCAGTTCTCTGTTGGCTTCGGGATGAAAACTCACAGGTCCGGGAAGTTGATGCACCAGGCCTGTTGAGAAACTGGAAATCTCGAACCGACTGTTTTCTTTCTTTCTTTCTCAGGCTGTAGATTCGATGACATCAAGGGTCAGAAACACTGATTTAGGAGATCTCACTCAAACTGGCTTAGGTAGGCTCCCATGGTCTCAGGTCCAGTTTTTCTCTGCTCCATGCATCTCACCAAATGTTCTGACAGCTGCCAAAACTTTACTCTTTTCCTGCAAGAAAACACAAACATGATCTCGACCCCAAATTAGGGTCTTCTCCACTGTCTAGTGCATGAATGTCTCCATTTGACCTGAGCAATAGTTGCTCAAGTTCCATCATGCCAGAGTCTGTCTGAAGCAGATTGCTCACTGGCATTCACATTTAAAACATTTTTTAAATGAGGAGTGTATTATTTGATGAGTCATGTGGGGACTGGGGACATTACTCCCCCCTTTTTTATTTTCTAAATTTTTTTGAACTATTGAAGCTGGACCATAACAATAGAAGGATTTGTCTACCCTCCTTAGTTAACTATCTAGGTGAATTGGGATCACTATCTAGATTATTAATAGATGCTCTTTAAAAAGGACATATACATTAGGTATTTCCCCAAAATTTCTGAAAATCACTCAAAGATTGTAAACTATATTGTGTCCCAAATAACTTTTGAAAATTATTTGAAGTCTGTGAGCAGTCTTTTCCAATCTAACTGGTAGAGCTCTCACTAGCTGACAGGGCCTCATTTATATCTTAACTTTTCTGTTAAGACATTAACCGACTGGCTGGATGTTCCTTTTGGCTATATCTAAAGCAATTTAGGTAGCTTTTTAACTATTTTTGAAGGGATTTAAGTATTCTTTTAATCATATAAGCAGTTCACACTCACGCATTCACAATCACATTTCATATATACCGGTGTGGCCACACCATACATTCAGAACATACATGCATCTTTCAGTCATCCTTTTTCCCTAGGTCATGATTAGTCTGTTGAAATGAAACTTCCTTAATTGAAATCTCTGTAACAGAACAACTCCAGCCAATCCTTGAACTAAAAAGGTTAAAAAGTCCTGTATGCCCCTCATCAGTCCTCCATTTGAGTTACAGTCATGGGGTACAGCTGTAC